ACCCGCTCCACCCACATTCTCAGAAGCTGCAGCATTTGCTAAGTACACTGTATTTTGCAGGGTGTGGTTAAAAATGTCATTGTTTACACGGCGCTCGTTCCCTCCTGTCCGGTAGGCTGAGCTGGTGCCGCCTCCCGGGTGGGGGGTTGAGTGTACAGGCGACGTTAATGTTATGTTTATGGAGAGAAAAATCACAAGTGTCATACCAATTGTGAGTCTTTTAAGGTGTTGACCTATATTATATGCAGTCATTCAGATGGACCGGGAAGTTATAACATTACATTTGGAATTAGAGTTGATAATGACATCTAACACAAGTACAGTAACTCTAAAACAGTGTCGTGTAGCGCTTGAACCTCTGGGCTGATCCACGGGTTAAGTGTGTAATGAGTAAAGAAAATTATATACACGGAAGCAGAGTTAATTATTCGCATTTAAGGAGGCGTTTAAATTTGTATTGGAATGTGGATGGTTAAGTTAGCTTATTTTAGGAGTGAAAAATTAAATAAACCTGATTTTTAAAATTGCGATGCAACATGTATGCCAAAATTTGATATTCCCAGTCTGCGCCATTCTTTTTTGAAACTGCGTAGGATTACATAAAAAGAGGATAATTCAGACTTTTTTTCTCAAATGTATGCCAGGATAAAATAAAATTTAATTTTAAAAGCGTTTACCAAATTACTGCAGGTCTGTGGTCCATAATATTAAAAGTGTTTGTCTTTTGCAAAGTGGACGTATTCAGTCAATGTAAATTTGATGTTACATATGCTTAAGTAATCCACTTAGCTGGATCCTTATACGTCACTTACGGGGATAATTTAACTTAAGAACCTCTGACAAAGAAGGAGTGGACCCTGGATGGTTCAAACACAAAAGGGAAAGTTGACTTTGACCTTGAGCTGCTCCCTCACAGGCTGGGTACAGACCCTCAGAGGTTCCTACGATTAATAATCCTTGTAACTTGAAGATATAAGAATGCAATAACTGGTTACTTAAGCTAAAGCATATAAATAACTTCACAATTTTTACTGCGACTCGTCCATGTTAACATACAGTATACGTTCACTTAGCAACAATAAAAAACGCATTGAACCTTCACCGAGATTCTGGTGGTAAGTGAACATATCTTGTTAGCGTAGAGTCTCAGTGTAATGTTGATGTTGATGTTATTATTGAACGTTATTTTTGTGCTTTCAACATAATTCAACTACTTAGCCACATCCTTGTATATTCAATAACGAGGAATATTTGTCATACGAACCTTTGAGGATGTTAACTACCTTGAGGGGGATTGTGTGGGGTTTGTTCCCAGGACCTACAGCCAGATTCTCATTTAAACGATAACGTTAGGAAAACTGGATGATGGGTCTAACTCAGCCATCTATAATTCACCTTAGCGTAGAAGACGTCACATAGTTTATAAAATTACAATACAATATGGCGTTCCAACTTGTGACCATCCAGTATAACAACATGTTCCCACAAGATGAACGACCTCCTGCACACAGTTGAGAATGTTCAGAAGGCGACGCTCCCCGGGCTGAAGGACTGAGGAAGGTGAGGATACCATCAAAAATATACGGCAGGATACTTGATGAGATGATGGAGACCCTCAACATGATACACGAGAAATGTCATGAAGAGGCTGACCACACAACAGCACAAACACCAGAGGTCATTGTCATAAGCTGTTCAACACACGGCCACACACAAAGCTGAGGCTAAACAACTTCTCCCTGCGGATTGTGGACGTGTGGAATACCTAACTTGACTAGGAAGTTACGTCTTTAAACATGTCGACTTTCTAGAAAAGATTGGACAAGCATCAGGAAGGTCAAGATTTAGTCAATACGTGTTTTAGTGTGTAGCTATCCTGAGTGTTGTTTAATTCACATATTCAGAAATGTTTTTGCGTCTGTTCGAGGATAAATAATACCGGATCAGCTGAGAAAAAAATGTCTTAAGTGTACTGCAGGACGTCATTAGTATAATTGGTTGTTGTTACCATTTTATTGTATATTGTAAATCATCTTCCTACAGCAACACCTTCTGATTATCCTCCTGCCAGGGTGTTTGTGATGCTCGCTGCTGGGAGCTGTAAGTTGAGGTGTCGGGCGGGCGGTGATGGTCACATTACCTGGGTCAAGTTGCCAGATGTGAGGAGGGACAGTGAGGGATTACACACGCCTCACTCTTCCCTCGATACTCGCCCAAGCTGACGTTGTGTGCACCTGTGGTTGATAAGTGAGGGAGAGGAATATTGTAGAATACCCTCTCTCACTTTCTCCAACCCACCCATAATTACCAAATATTTTCATATGAGCAATACTGATGATATGAACATTAACCTTACTTCTGGTTTATATAAATGAGTTCTTCCTTAAATAAAGTTTCAGTAGCCTAAGTCTTGCGTCACAACCGTTTGACCGCATGTGACCGCTGAGATTTTCACTATACCGTGTAATAACCTCTCCCTGTATCTGCGTCAGGACTTCACATCCGGTAAATTTCTATATATCGACATGTGCATTGTCTCACTCCTACTGTACGTGCACCCTATATATTATGTGTGATTAATCTATAACACGTTTATATTTTTGTGTTTTTATAAGTGATTACCTGCATATGTGTATGTTTGTATATATGTTTGGAAATGTATACTAAATGTGTGTGTATTCTATCGTCAGCAGGACCTTGTATTAAACCAGTGCAGGTGGATGAAGGTTTCCTCACACACTGTACAACACTTCCCCTGATCTAGTGTTGATATTTTTATACTGTGTGTGTGTTTTGCCATCACAATAAGTTTTACGCATTTTTCTTTCTTCGTCAGTCACAGAGTATCAGGGTAAGGGAAAATAGCCTTTCCACTGCGATGTTGCACAGATAATTATTTAAGTTTACGTTAGAAAATGGATAACGAAAGAGAACGGAAGGGCAAACTAAACTAAGCTGATAGGGATGATCGTCTGTATGTCCCGGTGTTATGCTTTTACTTTTACTTTACTTTTTTCCTCTTCACCACTGATCGGCTTGTTAGCCGCTTGGGCGATCGGTCACGTCTCTGTCACGCACTGTTGGCAAGTACTGGGCATGCACCGGCTCCTGAATGTACTGTAAAATAAATAAATAACTTTTTTCCTACCTATTGTTAAAGTAACCTAAGTCAATATAAGTTGTTGGAGTTAATACAAGCAGCGCGACCTAACCAAACTTTGTTCGCCATTTGAAACCTGTACAAATTTTCAAAAGTCCGGCTGTAGTATACTGGTTCGTTGTTATTAATATTTGTGGACAACAGGTACGGGCTGACTGAACAACATCACAACAGCGAAAAATATCATACGAGCATAAATTTTATATTTATTTAATTTCGTATCAAAGAAAACGTGGATTTTTTTATCGTATAGAAATCTTAAAGTAAACGACATCCTCTTTGTAATAAATGTAGTACTAATGTTATCTGAGTATTTATATTAATGGGAATATATTTATGTCTATAGCTACTAAATCCACATTATTTGTATTAAATGATTTAACTTGACGTGTTACTTATGGGAGAATTAGTTCATTGATGAATACCCTTTTTTTCAGATTATTTTGGAGATAAAACTATATAAATTATTAACTAACGTAACCTTTATCAGATAACCCTAACTGACCTAACCTACCCAGACCTCACATACAGCACCTGCTTCTCTAAACTCAGAACAAAAATTACCGTATTAATCCCTGACCGAATCAAACACGGCTTCCCTTGACATACGCTTGATATCCCCCCAAGCGGACGCCCATACTGTGTTGTGGGTGGTGAGCGAGTAAAGAGTCAAGGCCAAGGTCACATACATGGAGAATGGCATCTGAAATCCGATGTGTGGTTCAAATCTGACTACTGGATGTCAGCTGAAAATCTAACTACAAAAACATTTAAAAATCCCAGCCTCATTTAGGGAGTTTAAGTATATATTAATGTAGAGTATATTGTGGGATATGGGATGTTGGTTCCCACTCAGGACGGGATGGAGAAAGGAAACTCACAATGTGCTCTCTGTATACATGTATTGGATGTACAATGCAGCTTGGTGCTGGGAAGGCAGCATGGTTACAAGCGTGATGTAGAGAGCTGGTTGGTGAGGGTGCTCAGAGGAGGACAGCTTGTGGGGCGCCATGCTCTCCAGCGGGAGCGAGGGCCGCCAGGCAGCGGCGGAGGGGGTGGTGTTGCTTGTTGGTTGGTGTAGGTCGAAAGAGGGTGGTCACCACGAGGTCAGGTCTTTTATAGCGGAGGTCGGCGTCGGTAGATAGTTGATCCCTGTTCGTGGGCGGCGCTGGTTGACCCAGACCACGAGGCATACACTGGGGAATTCGCGGGGTCGGCTACCCAGCGACAAACAGCGTTTGTAGGGGAGAAATCCACTACAATATCTTAGATTTAAGTAATGCATGCCTACCACAATAGTCACACCCTTTAGTTTGATGTTTTCGTTCACCTGTTTCTCTATTTCTCTGTTAATCTGTAATCTATGTCCAGTATGTAACGAATTACAACGAAAAACAACTAGTTATTGTGATATAATATTTGCCAACGATTTACTGGTACAGGTACACATGTGAGCTTAGATAATGTTATATAACATACGCTTTTTACATCTCATTAGCTGTGTTTACTATGAATCTTGAGTGCTTGTTTGTTACTTAACTCGGTATATTGATTGTTGAAACACCGAGGAGAGTTTAAAGGGTGAGGTTGAGTAGAGTGCAAAATAGAATCCGCTGTGTTGAGACTACAGGTAGGTGGATAAAACTCAAGAGAATATTCACGTCTGATAACTCCATAATGAATAAAAAAAACCCGCATATAATATATATATATATATATATATATATATATATATATATATATATAAAACAGATCTGAAGTAATAATATTCATTCGAGTACTTGTAACCTCATTCACAAGGTAATGTATACCGTACGATACTATGCTTGGCGGGTGTTGGCATCAATGGTACAATACGAAAACAGCACTGCCAGGCAACAGAGTCAACGTGGTCGTACGAGCGCTGAGAAGTACGCAGAACGTCAGGCTTATCTTACACCACAAACACCATCAACCACCCACTGACAACTAAGGCAAGTCGACTTCAGTGATCATTTATTTACCCTATCATTAAATAATGATACTTACTGTGTATTATCTTTCTTAGTTAAACATTTCCTAGAGTTGATAATCTATGTTGCCGTCATACCGGATTTTGTTGGGTTTCGTTAACGTTACGGACTGAGGAGCATTGTGCATGGAGGAAAATCAGCCCATACCGACGGTGTTTGATACAAGCAGTGACGCACTGGTTAAGATGCCAGTTTGTCGCTATATTGTGCCCATAAGGAATTTCAAGCCGGGTTAGGTAGCAAGTAATGATGTGTATGTGCGCTGGGAGTGTGTGTGTGTGTACAGGTGGAACCGTGGAGGGTTTGTGCATGCTTGTGAGAGTTGTGTGGAAGATGTGTTTATGTGAAGGTGTGTGTGTGTGTAATATAATTATTACTTTCGTTATGAGAATTAAGCACACAATCTGGTGGTGTCTCACTTAACCTCTTCACACCTTCACCTTACAAGAATCTGACAGTAGGAAATAAACATGTGAGGGCAAGGGTATTTTTTTTATAAACATTTACGATAAAACACAAGGGATAGCTGTAGGATTATGACGGGGTTACAGCTTGAAGAAGAGATAAGGCATTGAAGATAGGGATGAGCAGGAAGCACAAAAAATTAGAAATATGTATGATTCAATAACAGTAATCAAGACAAGTAAGGCCACACAAGTGATGCAGTTCTCAGATACAGTGTAGAGGACACGTGATCTGAGAGTACTCACAAGGGGCAAAGTCGACATGATGACAAAAAGCCAGATAATTCATGTACAATCTTGTGACATTAAGTGAATTATATTAGTATTGGCAATATATTTTAATAAGTAATTCAGATATACAATATTTTATTATTATTATTATTATTATTATTATTATTATTATTATTATTGGTGCTACTATAGCGTGTGGTCTACAAATATATATTCAATCTAACCCAACCTAACTTAACCTTGTAAATGACTACCTGACTTTAAAGTTGAGGAGCTGAAGGCAGACGGATGCAGTGCCGGACATGATACCAAATTGTTCCGCATTCATATTGTGTGCGCGCGTACATACACACATTACAAGAGCAATTTTTTTAAATCAAGATGTGCTTTATCTAACAAGAATATATTACAATGCACAAAGAATGTTTTCACGTTACGTACTGCAAATGTTTAAGAAGAAAACGAGGTCGGGGGGAAGGGAGCTGTATAAAAAAAAGTCTTAATACCCTTTGTATATGGCTTCAATATTCCCCTGAAATAGTAAAAAAAAAAAAAGTATATATATATATGCTGATATTGGTGGAGCAGTATAGGCCCCCTGCTCTAGACTTGATCCTCACCGCAACTACTGGGCATATACTGGCTCTAGATGTTCTAGAATGCACTTGAACATGCGCCAGTGTTGATCAAGCCTGGCGCTCGCTATTTTACTGATAAAATAAATGATAATGACAATATATGTACACAATCAACTCAAAATTAAGGCTTGGAAACGAAAAGGTCCCTCCCCCCTTAAAAATCCTGGTGATGGACTTGACAAGTGAAATAATGACAAGAATTTGTACCTTAGGATAAGTCAATCTTACAAACCTAATGCATTTAATGGCGGGTTAGAAGTAATAATGATTTTAACTATGATATTATTTTATTTTCAAATTTGGTATAGTCGAATGTGTTATCCGCACGATAACGTAAAGGAAGATGAAACTGCGGACTTTTACGGCGATAATAGTCCTATTCTTTGAAATTGCTGAAAAGATATGCTGCTCAGCGGTGTAAACAGTAACTGATGTAAGTCAGCTGGTGCCCTGCAGACTACAGACCTGAAGCTAACCTGGTCACGGTGACGGCTGGGGTGAAATAGTGCCAGTCATTGCCTTTCACGACCACTTAGGGATGTCCTACCAAGACCCGACTCGTTGTTTGCTATATGCTCATGCCTACATTCTTTATATAACATTTTGAACCAATGTGAACAACTTTTATACAATAAGCATCTATATATCAATCAATCCTGGCTCGTATTTCCAAAGGTCTGTATGATAAATTCTCCCTCAAAATAGATATCTGAGAACGCATGTAACTGGTTCTTACAGGCAAAGATATATAGAGCTGCATTCTCAAGTCTGTAAAATTCTCCTCCCGCCCTCCTAATAGCTGGGGAAGGGCGTGACGAGGGTAGGGAAATATAAAGGAGAGAAAAGGTCAAATAGACAAAATAAATATAAATAAGAAAGTGAAACATTGTACTGCATAAAAAGAAAGAGACAGAGAGAGAATGAACAAAATAACAGAAAGATAAGCAGACGTTATTCTGGTAAAGGACCATTGGTATCCATCCACACTTTGCATATCATAATTAATCAGTCACGCGTTCATTGCTTTGGAGTGCGACTTGACTAGTGAGTGTGTTGGATTAGTTTTTCTCTCTCTTATCTCCGGATTTTTTTTCTTCGTTTTCAATTGCCGAGACAATTATTCATAGCACCACTGTCTGGGGTTTATTTTTAGCCCTATCGTGATGTTTGAGTGTTGGTAATCTGAGTTGGGGGTTTTCCTACATCCCTCCATTTTTTCTACTCTCTCTCTCTCTCTCTCTCTCTCTCTCTCTCTCTCTCTCTCTCTCTCTCTCCTATTTCCTTATTTTTACTTCTTCCTTCTTTTTTCTCCTCCCTATCCCTTCGTCATTATTCTCCCCCTTCTCTCTCTCTCTCTCTCTCTCTCTCTCTCTCAGAAGCGTCAATTAACTTTACCTTGAAGTTACTTGCTGTCTCGTGGATCTGCTGGCGACAGAGAGAGAGAGGGAAGGGGGGGGGTGGGGTTCAGGGTTCAGGAAGTGTTGAATTAGCTCGTAAGTACATATTGCTTTCAATCGGTAGTTTAATAAATCTCAATGCTATGGGAACTTTTTATATAATTGTGAATGTAGTCTGCATGTTTAAGTTTTATGGGGTATGTATGAAATTTTCTCAACAGGTGGACGAAAATATAGAATGAAAACACCACAAAATATTTCTTCACTGACTTGAGACGCGCTTAAAGCTTGTGGTCCAATGAGGTGAGAGCGCGGGTCCTAGACGATAAATCAGCTTTTATTTCTTAATAGTATGAAAAATAGAAATATAACCATCCTCTCTGTTGTGTGAATTGTAAGTGAAGGTCTGATGTTTCTGACCCAGGGGAAGAGTCGTTATGTTAAACAATTCGTCACAACGGTATGGTCGTTATCTTGCCTCACTCTCAAAGTCGTATATATAACAGTATCTGAGTAGAAAACAAGTATATACTGTCAGTCTTTTGTTTGGTGGCGAGCCTCTGCGTGTCTGCGAAAATTCAATCAATTTGGACCAAAAATAAGTAAAAGAAGAAGCTATGAATTCTAAGAGAAGCACGCCCTGGTGACGCCATTGACACGGGTGGAAAATTACCAAATAGTTACACTGAGGTTTAATTATATCAACAGGGCCCTTTTAAACCAACTATATATATCCTGTACTTAACTTTACTATAAACCCTGTAACTTAAACCTCCTCCTTCTGCTCCTTCTTTTTCTACTCCCCCTCCACCCCTCCTCTTCCTCCTCCTTACAGAAGATACCTCACACAGAAGTAGATTTCTCATAATATCTTCAGATTCATTGTGATGAGGTCCACCCCGCCCCCCACCCCCCTCCCCCCTCCCCACCTCATTGCACTGCATATGAAAATCATGGGTTTTTCAACCAGTCACGTCAAAGTGTAAGGCTGTTGACGTTAAAATCTTATTACTGTGCCTCAACAACTAAGGTCTTTAAAACTTTGGTTGTAAAATACTGTTTTTTGGTGTGTTTTTTTTTTACTGTAAAACAATTTAAACTTTAGATTTGTATTGATGATACATAATATGAAAACTTTTGGAAGGCAAGAATCAATCAAATAGTCTTTTGAGATGGAGGGAGCATTGTCTCACCTGTAAGTAATCAACATAGACAAATTTACCTGTCTTTTCCCCCTTTTTGGACACGCCTCTGCATACAGCTCATATTGAAATTTTGGTACAGTAATTCTCTCCCTCCCTCCTTTGGTAACTGAGATTTATGCATTTCCTTACAGTCGAGTCTTGTGATTACATCTTTTCAATGTTGTTTAAGGAGCCCGTTTCTTGTAGCGTAACTTAAGAATTTAAGTACTGTCGTTAGGTGCATGCAATCCTGTACCCGATTAGAGGGCATTTTATACACGAGCAATTAAGAATCGTTGATATGTTTGTTATCCGAGAAGTGTGAGTATAAAAGGAGTGGCTTGTTAGATATTGTTCAGTAAGCCTCAAGGCGTCGTAGTTGACAGTTTTCAGACACCTTTATCTTCATGCCAACAGTTCCTTCAACCACACTTAACCATGCAGTAGGTGTTGACAACTTTCCTTAACCACCTTCAACCATGCAGGTGTTGACACAAAGAAAGGATAGTTGTATTTCACATTTTCAGAACTGTATTGATGTGTATAATTACAAAATAAGAAGAGACATATTTTGAAATTCATGTTACACTGTAATTTTACCCTTATCAATGCTGCTTATCTTATCTTGGCAGTTTTATCTATGATTTAGTAAGTAACATTCAATCTTCAGCATTGTTATATTAGTGCAGTGTTGTGTTGTAAGGTGTCTCCACTGTATGCTTTTTACTGATGTCATTCACGGACAATCTTATATACATTCAGCATAATAAACACAGTGGCCTCTCTCTCTCTCTCTCTCCCTGTCTCTGGCTGTTATACTCTGATTATTATATTCATGCTGAGTTGTTCATGTCCCTCCCGCCCACTCGTACATCCACCAAGACAATTCAAAAGATGGATTTTGTAACAAATTTAGTAAATGGTTATATATCACAATTAACCTGCAGCTGGGTTTGATATCGTTTTTTTGGTGTCAGTATTGTACAGAGGTTCTAGTCCCTGGAGGTCTGTTGTGGGGAGGTGAAGGAGAATTTATTTATTTTTTGTTCTGTAATTTCGTGTTATTAGTTACCAGGTGCTACAATGTGTCAGGTCAATATATATCAAGTGATGGTCCAGTACAACATATTCTTAAAAATTCCCACATTAATGTCTTTCTCGTAAATTGGGTTAAAAACTTGTGTCTAATTGCAGTAGCCTATTCTGAGAACACTACCAACGTCATATTATTCCTCTTTTTTTGTATCGTATCAGTATTTATGGCGAAAATTTTAGCTTAACCTCTGAGAATCCACACGCCAACAGAGGCAAGTGGACCTCCCTCAATCACTGGTTGGCCTTGGTACACCCTGCATAAGATCCACCTCCCAACAGATTCGTACCTTGGCTTTTATCACTTAACTGGTGATGTAAGGACGTGTGTAACTCGGCCATATTGCTGCGACCTAAATGTAGCATCCAATAATAACATCAACAGTGCATTACTCTAGATGTTACAGTAACTCATTCACTTGTTCCCAGATAAAAATAATTCAATACAGGTATATGATTTGTTTTAAGAATTGTAATACAAAGCTAGTCTCTTTCACACTAGTAACTTACAAGATTAAGAGTTAAGTCTTACAATTGACATGACAGTATCTACACCACCATGTTGCTTGCTGTTGAGTTTGTTTCAACGATATGAAGTAAAAAAAAATCACGTTTCAGAAAATTAAGATGAATAAGAGAATATATTTCATTAAAGCAGAAAGCACTGACCCGCCCCCCCCCCCTTGCCTTTTATTTTTCACTGAACAAAGAGGTCGGGTTTTGTATCTAAATCAAGAACGTAATTGAACGTGGGTAAAACTTAAGACTACCTGTATTGTCATGTCAGATTTGGGATGTTTTTTCTTGTATCTCTCAACAATTCTGTCCCTCTTATAACTTGTACAGTAGTCTATTATCAGTTAACTTTGTGATGATAGAAATAGTCAAACCAATTAAGTGAACATTTATATTTCAGGCTCAAGATGGTAGCCACCTCCCCTCTGGAACTGCCCACACTGACAGTGTCCGACCCTGTTCGACGCAAGAAGGTAGGTTTTGGTGAAGCAGTGACCCGCCCTTAGGTGATGGTTGTGGCGAGCAGTAGGAGGCGGTGTGTGTGTTTGACATTTGCTGAAGTTTTATCAAAATATTTATTGAATCCTCGTCATAATGAAGCCTTACAATGGAGTATCTGTTTTACCTTAGTTGAATTAATGTCCCCAGACAGTGATTGATAGATGAAATTTTAAAACATTCCTTCTACATATTCAGGACTTATTGTACTATACAGTATTTAAAGTAATGAAGAACTTATTCAGTTATATTGCAAGTATTGGAAACTTTGATATGTTTGACTTGAAATTTTAAAGAGTTTTTGACTGGACTGATATAATATATGAAAAAGTGTTAATTAAAATGATTTCTTCAGATATTGGAACGTCTCTCGCCCCTGATATTGACCCCAGGACAACAGCAGAAGATACATGATATTTTCCTGGACGAGATGCGTCTTGGTCTTGCTGCTAAACCAGAGAAGGAATCATCTCTCCTGATGGCGAACACTTTTATTCCTGAACTACCAGATGGCACAGGTAGGTAACTGTTCAGTGCAAAGGACACTTATTTACTGTACACATTCCCCTGCTGTTGCAGTGTTCACAGAGACCATGATGTAGACATGGATTCCAATATATGAGTAAGTTTTAGATGTGTAACTTTCTATAAAAGATCCTTTAAAACACAAACATTTAATGATCTTTCTTGAACATCCTTTCTGGAAATAACCAGACCAGGCCTTGAATAATAGTAATAATAATAATAATATTTAATAATGTTTACTATTGGTTTGGCACGTATATAGAATATGCCGGCATATACGTAGTCAGCATGTACTACTGTATTGTAAATCATTTTAGATGATTGACAATAATCGTTATGGAAATATAAATATACTAATAGTGTCATAAAAAAAGGTGTAATATGGTTTTATTATTAAATTTCAAGGGTTCAATATCGGGTTTGGTATATGACGCAATTATGACAAATGACATCATCACAAGCTTCTCAGGCGTTGCTCTATCATATATATCAGTTTATATATAAATAAACAGAATTAATCCTTATTAGGTGGGATATAAAGAAGGTAAAAATTATCCAGTGTTATTACTGTAATGTAATGTTACAGAGAATGGTGAATACCTGGCTCTGGATCTAGGTGGCACTCACTTCCGGGTGATATACGCCCACATGAAGAATGGAAAATTTGATGAAGAGGTGAGTTACAATTCCTACACATAACAGACACCTTTATTAAAGTAAACGAAAAAATATTAATTGTGCGTAATTTAAGCATACTACCTGCAGTTTTCAGATAAGTTCTGTAATCAAATAATATCTCATGTGAACATGTCAAATATCATGCTATAAACTTCTTCCTAGATCGTGGACTACTACCATGTCCCCTCTGAGAAACGTCTTGGGCCAGGCGAGGAACTATTTGACTTCCTGGCTGAGTGTATTGCCAATTTCATCCAGAAGCGACAGCTTGGAGGTCGTAATTTTCAGCTAGGTATGATACTTAGCACTGCCTCCACCTCTCACTGTGATATACTGTTGTAATGTATAATACTGTACTGCAATACAATATTTTTCTCTTGTGGTTTTCTACTAATTTGCTATATGGCTTTGTATCTTGTCTTTGTAATACACTGCATGTATAGTGGATTGAACATATGGCAAATGAAGTTTGCTGTGTGATGTACAGTACTGTATGTGTAACAAAAACAGTTCAATACTTTTACTTGGTTTGATTGTCCTCTTCTCAAGTTAACCTTTTCTTCAGAAGGTAATGTTCTCTCCTAAACATTACAGCTTCTCCTTAATTTAGTGTCCATTATTGAGTAAACATAATGTCCTCTTCTGAACATGATATCTTGTTATGATCATAATGTGCTCACAAACCAATAGGTTAAGTGTTGCTTTTTTTTTCCAGGTTTTACCTTCTCTTTTCCAATGATACAGAAGAGCCTTGATGTAGGCATCCTGGTTTCTTGGACTAAGTCATTCAACTGTCCTGGGGTTGTTGGTGAGGATGCTGTCCGGATGCTCAATGATGCCATCAAAAGACAAGGAGGCTTAGATATAACAGTTACAGCCATTCTCAATGACACCACAGGTGAGGTAATCTGGGTCTGAATGTTGTGTTTTTTCTCCGTTTTTATACTGTACACATGGAGTTTTACAGAGTACAGGACAGGTACTTTGATTTACAGTGTAGCCCTTTTGTCTCTCCATTAAACTACTCTGTAACTGTCCTTAATTTTAAAGTTCCTGGGCTGTGAGTATATTATGCTACTGTAGGTGGAGTTGCTTTTCTCTGCAGTAATACCTGTAACAACTTTAATATAATTATTTCTGGTCTTAATATCTTTTATTATGCCATTTAGAAGGACTGCTTAAAACATGACAGGACATGAATTATGATAAATGCTGTTACTCTTATAAAATTAATGATCATGACACAATATCGGTGGGTGAGTAAAATGCATTGCTCCCTCCACTAGGAACTTTGGTCATGGGAGCATACCTGGATAAGCGATGTGCTATGGGTATGATCCTAGGGACTGGATGCAATGGCTGCTACATAGAAAAAGTGGAGCGTATTGAAAAGTGGCTTGGAAAACACAAAGAATCTGAGGTTAGTGAATATTACTTACTGTATCTGCAAGACCATATTCTGACTTTTGGTGACATTAGACTCCATATTGACCAAGAAGGACCATAAGATCAGTGTACTCATGCATAAAAGTACTGATTATGACCATGGCGAACTTATCCATCATTGTATTTGGTAGTCCACCGATACGAACTGGGTGAAATTTTAAATTTACAGTATTTTATTTACCTAATGACTTATTTTTTAATTTCATTCACTGTATTTTGTCATTCTATTTCTTTTCTCTTAAATCAAATGATTTTAGATATACAGGTACCTGCACTGTGTAAGGACTTAGGCTGTGATATAGTGGGATTTTAAACATTGTTCAGTAAGTACTGCATGCACATAACTGTGTTCCAGCTTATGTACAAATCCTACTTTAGAATGTCCTCAGGAAAGGAACCCATTCGTAACCCGGGGACCCCCTGTACTTTATATTGAATGTGATATGTAATTTTAGCAAAAGTCTTTATTCTCTTGAAAACTTCTTGAAGATGAGAAAGGTTTTTAAATTCTTGTACTGTACTCTACTCAGAATACTCATGCCTACTAATACCATATACTGTACTGTACTATACATATCTTGTGGCTCTAAGCTCTGGCATCTCTTACTCAAATGGATTACAGTATTTTTACTTTTTTACTTTTATCCTCTTTACCACTGATCAGCTCAATAGCCACTTGGGCGGTCGTTCACGTCTGTTATGCATTGTTGGCAAGTACTGGGCAGGCACTGCCTCCTGAATGTATCTGAACCTTCTCCAGTGCTTATCAAGGCTTAGTCTAGAATTGAAAGAGCTCACACTCGGTGCCATCACAACACTCTCTGGCAGATTGTTCCAAGAGTTCACAATTATCACTCCAAAAAAAGTTTGCCCTCACAGTTTTCTGGACTTGCAGCTTCTTCAACCTTGAGCTGTGACCCCTTGTGGGGTATATGGTACAAGTAAAAGAGTACGCTATTTTCTATTGATGTTACCTGAAATCGTGCACATTTGTACCACAAGGACCGTACAGTGCATCAGCACCATTATCAATCATTGGGTTATAAGGCATTGGATAATTTTTATTTTTCATCCATTTGAATATTCAGCTATGAATTATTTTATGCAAATACTCCTAAGTCTTATTTTCAGGTTAATATTCTTATTTGTACAGTATATAATTTTGTTACATGTGAATTTGGAAGTTGCAAAGTGCATCACCACAGTACAGTACTGTGTCTCTACAGGTCATCATAGACATAGAGTGGGGATCATTTGGAGATAATGGGGTCCTGGATTTCATCAGGACTCAGTGGGACGACGCTGTTGATAACCAGTCACTTCTTGTCCACTCATACACGTAAGAGAACACTTTAAATCCATTTATGAAATTAAATTAAATGTTAGGTATTGTTACAGCATATTTACATTAATCTTTAGATTATTGGTTGAACAATATTTACATATTTTCAGTTTATAGTACTGTAACAACATTTGTTAAAGAAAATACTGTACTGTAATTAATGGATTCAGTCATATTCTTTTATCCATGCCCTCATATTTTTTAGTTCTAGCCTTATACTTGTACTATATTTTGACAATACTGTACCAAGATAACCAGACATCTTCATATGCAGTATAATTTTTCTAGGCTCAGGCTGACCTCAAACTTGAGAATGTATAAACCTTATACAGTACAGGGGTATACCAGTATAGGTGTACCTGTATGTTGCAATTTATAATCTGAGTACAAATAATTGGCACCTACCCATAGCTAAGCCTACATCTAATAATTGAAAAGATTATACGTACTGTACATGATTACATATCAGAGTTTACTACCTATACTGCATCATACATTAGACAAGAAGAGTTTGCCTCCCATATTCGTAAAAGGAACTATTTTATGATTAAGTGTTGTTTTCACATCAGGTTTGAGAAATACTTTGCTGGCAAGTATTTAGGAGACCTGTTCCGGGAGGTGCTGCTGACACTTGCCAAGGAAGGACTTTTTTGCAGTGGAGGTATTGATATTCTCAACACCCACGGGGCCATCACTGCCACAAACGTTTCCAACATTGAGAGGTAGGTCACTGTGAGAGGTTGCTTGCTCTTAAAGGTAGGCCACAGTGAGAGATAGGCTACTGTGAGAGGTTGGCCACTGTGAAAGGTTGGCTACTGTGAAGGTAGGCTGTGAGACATAGGCTGCTGTGAGAGGTAAGCTGCTGTGAGAGGTAGGCTGCTATGAGAGGTAGGGTGCTATAAGAGGTAGACTGATGGGAGTTGTCTTTTATGGTTGGAATTTGTAGTGTTAGGAAATTTAATTTTATTACTTATTGCAAAAAGTTGTTGTAGAGTATCAGGTGCCTCAACTGTCCTTACATAACAAGTTACGACAATGCACCTGTCTTTCCTTCAGTATCTCCACAACAACTAAATTGTCAGCAGAATTACACAAAAGTTATCCAGTGTAGGACATTTTATAGGCTTAGTTTATTTACATTCTTACCTGCCTGATAAAGTTGGCAAGTTTTTCTTTTTAACTAGTGATATTTTTTAGCCACCAATAGTTACAGTATGCTGTATAGTATTTTGTATGGTAATCTAGATATATGCAGCCTCAAATATTAAATTTTGGTCAGGAATATAAAATTTTATTATTTTTGTAAAACTTGGTGTAAATGATGAAGTGATGTACTGTACAGTAGTTTTTAGGTGCATTTTTATTTATCCTTAGTTAAGTACATTACCATTTTTGTGATACAGTACTGTACTGTCACTACATGGGAATTACTGTACCTGTACTGTATCACTAAATCTTTAATTGTATTTTTACCTGATGAAACTTGCACTACAGTACAGTATTGTATGTAATCTTTAGTTAACTCACTATACAGTACAGTGTTTATAGCTCCTGGTAAATTTTCTATATTTATGCATTTAAATTTAAGTTATGCATCTTGTAGTTTTTCATCACAATAATACATACAGTAATGTAATTTTATCATTCCATCAGTGACAGCTTCAAAGGTGTGACAGATGAGACAAAGGCGGTATTTGACAACCTGAACCTGATTTATGATGATGATGATCTTCACATTGCCCTGTATGTTGCAGGCATTTTATCCTACAGAGGAGTCCTACTAGTCTCCTTGTGTAAGTCCACTTAGCTTTGAGGTGTTCCTACAGAGGCATCCTTCTTTTACCCTTTAATAAGTCCTCCATTGATTAGATGTACAGTACTGTATATTGTATAGTCGATCAAAAACTATACTTACAAAATTTTGTTAGACAATATGACACAGCAGACGAAGAATTTTGACAGTCATACCGAGAAAACAAGTTGTAATATTTATTCTGAAATTTACTGACTCCCAAGTACTGTACAGATAGCCTTTTGAACGATAGTACATACCCACATACAGGTGTATACATATCTTTATTGTGGGTGAAATCATAGCAAAATTGAGGTTTTGTGTGAGGCAGTTTAGAACCTAACCTCCCATAATTGCCTTCTTCTTAAGGGGAATTAGCTCTCAGGTTCTGAACAAGCACTCTTATGGTCCTTCACCCCCTAACCTGTTTGTTAACCAGGGTGTTCCTGTACTGTATATTATACTTGATCTTGAATTGTTAATTAGATGCAGCATTAATGATTTATTAATCGAAGCAAATGTATATATCATCAGCTTAAGTCTTTTTTATTTAGAGGTATTTTTACCCAAATTTACATTCGATTTCTAAAATTTAAGAATAATTGACTTGCATCATACACACAGTAAGTGGTATTCTGCTGGAGAGGATGAAGCATGACCACTGCACCATTGCCATTGATGGATCCCTGTTCCAACATCACCCGAGGTTTCGTCCACTCATGGAAAAGTTCATCTCAGACACTGCCCCGGGTAGATCTGTAAGTTATATTCACTTACCTGTATTGCCTTATGGAAGGGTTTTGATATCTCTGTAAGGTAAAATTGTGTTCTGTTAAGGGCTGATGCTTTAGATGATGCTGTGTGTTTGTGTGTGTTGTGATGAGTTCATTGAATGTACTGTATGTACAGTATATATCAATGAGGTGAGGTGAGGTGTTGATGGTAGAGTGAGAATACATTTGGGTTAGGGACTGCTTGAGTTGATAGTGTTGTATGAGTGTGTGTGTGTATGTGTTGTAGAGGAATATTTAAAGTGAAGAAATTTGACACACAGTGTTGTACATAAGGTAAATGCTAATGAAACCTATTAATGGAAACTTCTAATATTAACACATACAAAGGAAACTAAATGGCCTTTCGTCTTTCTTGGGCAGTTTGATCTCCGGTTGGCACATGACGGGTCTGGGAAAGGTGCTGCCCTGACTGCCTCCATCGCTGAGAGACTTAAAAAGAGGTCATCAAGGTAACCCTACTGATATGTAAGTGAGAGTTACTATAATGCAGGTCATCAAGGTGATCTCTTTAATAATTATCTGAGTTTTACTATGGTAGAAGTCATCAAGTTAACCTCACTAACCAATGTCTGAGAGTTGTTGTCACACGACAATTTCATATTTGTCAACACAGCATCTTGTTATGTGTATTTTCTTGTTATGACTGGTCCTAGTGGTTCCCAGTCCCAATGCCTTGGTTAGGTTGGGGCTAATTTAGACAGCTCTTTAAGATGCAGCTTTTCATGTGGTGACTAAATAAATGAAGATTTCTGTATTTCAAGTAGTGCTTTAAAAACTTGGATATTTAGGAATTATATTATTTTCCAAATAAATTTGATATTATTTTTAATTAATTATTTTCTATTCCACCCTTTTTTTTAACAGTGCAGGTCCATCTGCCAAAGTGAAAATTTAAACACCTGAGTCAGTTTACAGCCACTAGATTTAGACCCCTATAAAGGCACCTAGAGTGGAAATAGTGTACCTCCATTATGGGGTCACTGCTTAGTAGAATTGCATCACAATCAAGACATTGCTTGTAAGAAGGTCAGAAGGCAATTGTTGTCAGTGGCCAGGTCAGCTATGCAGTGATTGGTCAGGTGAGGTTTGGCCATCTACAGGAAGCTGTAGCTGGCTGGTTTATTGATGATAAAAGTGATGAGAAGGCATATTCATTCATCAAAATAATAATACTTCAACTTCATATCTTAAGTGAAACAGGTGCAATTACAGACACAGGTACATGTACATGTATATACAGAAATATCATAATAATGACCACACAAACATAAAATGGAAAATGGAGTACAATTGACCAGCACACAAAATGTAGTTAATTAGTTGACTACAGAGGGTGCAATCCAGTTGTTTTTCTTCTTCAACACACAGTCCTACCAGTATTTATTTACAATACATACTGTATATCCATAAAGGAAAAGCCTTAACATATTACTTTTATCCTATACTGTACCTGTACTGTATTTGATTTCAAGTAAAAAAACAAAACAAAAACAGCTAGATGCATTCACACATCTTTACTTACAAGAAATGTCCAACATGCAGTCTTATGGGAACCCAGGTCATGATTTGTCCATTGAGATTATAAGCTTACATGGGCATCCACCTGAAGAGTGGGGGGCAATGCAGGTCATTTGCCACTTATGGAAAATGATGAACCTACAGTATTTCTTTGTTTATTCATTTGCTATATGTACAGTACAGTACAGTATATGAATTTACAAGTTTTTTAATCAATTCACAATGTCACACTATTTATTAGATTTAATTTTTGATGCTACTAAAAGTTGCCAAGTTTTTCTGGATTTACTGTACATATAATCTCTAAACTATACTGTAGATATCTTGCCAAAATTTTTTTATCTCCATCTAGGTTTTGCCTTCTATTTTAGCATTTGATCCAAACCTAAATTGATTTTAAGGCTTATCAGTGATATGATTTCTTTTCAAAATACAGTACTGCACATGGAAGATAGAGAGCTGCCATCAGGTAATCACAGCTAATCCCCATAAGTGTGGAAAATTGCCATAAAATGGTGATGATAATACACAGAAATGGCAGGGCCTGACCCAGGGAGGGGGGGAGGGGGCACAGTTAGACCATCTTTGTACTTCAGAACCTTTTTCCTCCATTTTGAGGCATTCGTCAATAAAGTTGATATAAGAGAGAGCCCCAGAAAAGCATCTTGTTGAACTGGCAAGAAATGAGTTTCAAGTTCACAGAGCAAATGGGCAATAAAAGGAATTGTGATGGTGTGACTGAAATATTCTTTGGGGAAACTATTGGCATGCTAGATCTATTACTTTTACTTTTATCCTCTTCACCACTGATCGGCTCGTTAGCCGCTTGGGCAATCGGTCACATCTGTACTGTACTGTACAGGTTGTACCTTTCTAGTCCGGCAACCTCGGGACCTGACCAGTGCCGGACCATGGAAATTCACCCTCGAAACACCCTACATAAAGCGTAAAAACATAAGATAGGAAATAAATAAATAAGAATACTATTTTATTAACCTTTAATGCTACCATAATTCTGCTTCCAAATTGAAGTGATGGTACTGTGACTCAAATTACATTTGAGTTACATCAGCAACCTGGGACTTGGTCAGAATTTACGTGATGCCATATGGCAGCAGGGTCTACCATTAGACAACACATTATGCTTCCAATATCTTCCCAGGCAGTAGTACCTCCCTGTTTGGTAGCTGCCTATCTACCTACTACCTATTGGGCAAACTAAAATCGTTCCGGACCACAGAATGCCGGACTAGAGAGGTACAACCTTTATGTGTACAGTGGTCCTTCGGTTAACGAGCACAATCCGTTCTAGAAGGTTGCTCGTTAACCGAAACCATTGTTTCAATGGGTTTTTGGGTAATTGGTTTCAGCTCACCGAAAATTGCCTAAATTCAACAAAAAAGGTAGAAAAGTACACTTACTTTGAGGTGTGTATGTCGAAGGCTCCTGGATGATGATGATGGGAATTAGAATGGGGGTGGAGGAGAAGGGAGAAGAGAAGGCATTGGGGTGGAAGAGAAGTCACCCCATGGTTTCATTTCACCCATAAAATTTTAGTTCTCTTGGTACAATTCAAGATTATTTTCTTTAAATCAACACTGCACTGCATTATATATTGTCAATATGTAAAATAAATTTCAAAATGACCAATAATTTGCTTGCAAAAACAGAAAAAAAGCATTTAGTTGAAGAGAGAGTCAAGCAAGATGTTACCTCCACTGAAAAGATACAAAGACAGTAAATTATGCAAATTATACTTTACTGTCTATTGTAGTGGACGTCTCCCCTACAAACTGCGTATCGCATTCCAATGTGCCGCCTTCCCTAGCAACCAACCAGATGTTACCGTATCTTAGCAACGAAACTATTCACCGGCGACTTCTCGGGTTTTCCCAACATGACTCATAGCGGCTGCTGCTGCGTTTATAAGCTCTGTCTCGCCATTGAGATTCATTCTGACCATTCTTCTTGAACAAGCAACACCTCCTCCTCCGCCGCTGCCTGGCGACCCTCGCCTCTCCTCCGCCTGCCTGGCGGTCCTCGCTCCCGCCAGCGAGCATGTCCTTCTCTGAGCTTCCTCACCAACCAACTCTCATTCTGCCCATTTTCCTGAACAAGCAACATCTCCTCCGTCAAGCTCCACGCTGTTAACATTTCATTCAACCAGGAGGCCAGCAACAGGCAACATCTTCTCTAACGAAGCTCCTGCACATCTACCTCCTTCAACAAGCTACTCACCGCACATCTCTACCAAGCAGCCCCTCACCACACAGCACCTCCAGCACCAGACTGTCTATCATATAACTTATATATTATACAAGAAAACCACATTAGAGTTTCCTTCCATCCAGAGTGCTAGACAACTTTAATATCTCGATACCCCTACAATGGTGACTCCCGGAGATTAGCACTCACACAGGATGGAGGAGACACTGATCACGCTCCCAGTCTTCAAGCAGACACCAGCTCCTCTTCCTGCCTCACGCACCACATTCTGACGACCCCAGCACACCCGTCCTGCCTCAGACGCCGACCCCGGCCCAGCAATACCTGCCATGAGGGAAGCACACAATATCCATCGCCTCCACACCTCCTCTTTTCTCCCTCAGGTACTCCCTGCTAATGTCCTGCACCCTGCTGCTGTCGTGGACCCAGCTGCTGTCACGAGCCCTAACCCGCTTCTGCTGACCCAGCCCCTGCTCCTGATCCAGGCCCACACACACCCCAGCAGGCGCATCTGACGACCCTGTACCTGTCGTGAGGGAAGCACAACATCCATCGCCTCCACACACCCTTTTTCTCCCTTCTCCCACAGATAGTGTGTATCTAGACAGTTGTATTTCAGCGATCGGCTCATCACGCCATCGCCGTTGTCTCACATGAGGCATGCACCGCCCGGTCTGCCTCACATGTGCTAAGCAACTCTACAATCAACAAGTCTCCTACACCGCCTGGAGGGGAGGGGGAGTATTGTAGTGGACGTCTCCCCTACAACTGCCTAACTGCGTAGCCACGCCACCACCTGTTACCGTCTTCCCTAGCAACCAAGCGTATCCGCATTCCAATGCCCGCCGTATCTTAGCAACGGAACTAGTCACCGGCTACTTCTCGGGTTTTCCCACCATGACTCATAGCCGCTGCTGGGTGTATATAAGCTCTGTCTCTCCATTGAGATTCATTCTGACCATTCTTCTTGAACAAGCAACACCTCCTCCTCCGCCGCTGCCTGGCTGCCCCTCGCTCTCCTCGCCTGCCTGGCGGTCCTCGCTCCCGCCAGCGAGCATGTCCTTCCTCTGAGCTTCCTCACCAACCAACTCTCATTCTGCCCATTTTCCTGAACAAGCAACATCTCCTCCAGCAAGCTCCACGCTGTTAACATTTCATTCAACCAGGAGGCCAGCAACAGGCAACATCTTCTCTAACGAAGCTCCTGCACATCTACCTCCTTCAACAAGCTACTCACCGCACGTCTCTACTAAGCAGCCCCTCACCACACAGCACCTCCAGCACCAGACTGTCTATCATATAACTTATATATATTATACAAGAAGACCACATTAGAGTTTCCTTCCATCCTGAGTGCTAGACAACTTTAATATCTCGATACCCCTACACTATCCTCAGTAATGCTGTTCCTGGACATTTGAATTATGTGGACCGTAAAATAATACTATTAGACCTCTGTATACAAACTCATATTTCAGGGCCGCAAGGGCACATTTGCATGTGTTTGGGAGGGGGGGGGGGGTCTTGCCCTTCAGGACCGCCCCCTGGGTCCGGGCCTGAATTGTGTGAGGTGAAATATAGATGGAGCCCAATTAGCATCATTCCCATACTCCAAGAGAGATAATGTGAGATTATATTATCCTGTACCAACAGGAGATCTCAGCCAATATCTTTCTCCTCCACATAAAGAAGATGTTAGTTTTATGTTATATTATTGCTTTTCGACAAGCTGGCCCAATGTGAATTTATGTAATGACTATTTTACTAAACTTATCTATTTAAGTGCCATAAATCTCTTAAGATGTGATCTTATTGGCTGCTGAGTGGCACTCCCACCATACCTCGTCGCTGATTGGTCACCCAGATGTCTGTCGGACACCAATCATAATCATTGTAAACATGGCGGATAGGAACGCAGGCATCGACCTTGGTATGGATATTATTTTTGTATTTACTGATACAAACAGAAGGGTAGTTGTATGTAGATCCTGGGTAATAACTGTAAGGTGTTTTGTTTACATTCCAGATACTTTCACTGGTCTGACAAGTTATGGTAGTGATATAAACAAGCTTCTATTTCTCTGAACTTTATGCCTAGTACACGTTAAGTTCAGATATTTTATTTTGTCTAAAGTTTTTCCTCTTACATTAGAGACATTGTGATATGTGTAACAGACCTGTGTATTTTTGTGTTTCTTTATTAGTTTTTATTGAGTTTTCAGGTATAATAGGTCGTGTATTAAATAAAGTCTTATCAACTTTATGTAACATGTCATGAGGCCCGGATTATGGTGGCACAGAATGGATTTGTTTTATACTGACTTCTTCACTATTTGTCTTTCTAATGAATAGTTTCAGAATTAATATTACAGAAATGGGTAAAGATTCGTTTTGTCTAACACCACAGAAACTGCCATTATGGAGATGTGACCCCCTCGCCAATTACCAATAATATTAGTTGTTCAAAATGAGCATGGCTTTTAAGATGAGGAACAATATGTGGGGTAAAATACTAAAACAAACACCAAACGTTTGAAAACCTTACCTAACCTAACCTAACCTAACCTAAAATTATAAAAAGCTTACCTTACTTTTGTTTCTGGTGTTGTTTTCAGCGTTTAGATGAAGAGGGACCCATAAATTCGAAAGCAATTTTTAACCTTTTTACAAGTTAGGTAAAATTTTCAACGGTTTGCTTGGTGTTATTTTTAGTATTTTACCCCACATTTTCCTCTCCTTCAAAGCCCTGCCCACTTTGTACAACCAATATTGTTGGTGCAGTAATTGGGGGAGGTCATATCTCCATAATGGCTCATTTGCGATGGAAATGAAGGTCAGATTCACTTGAAACAACACAAAATACACTAGGCAAACCAATTTCTTTTTGTAGTTTTATTGATTAACACAAAACGAATCTTTACCAATATTGGATTTGGTGAGGTTGATGACACATCATATATTTAAAACCATTATTAACTGGTTCCATCATAAGTCAACATGAGTTTTTGAACTCCAGGGTTCAGAAAACTGTGTTCACAGCTCACACACACAGGACTAGTACTTGCAGCATGATCTGGCTATTGTTCTTTTCTTTTTTTTACGTAAAAGAGTGTACATTGTTTCCCACAGTCTTTTGGATAAGTTTTTAAGGTTGTGAATGTTACTTAATTTTCAAGATATTTTAAGTAAATTTCATTATGTGCTATTAGGAAGCATTGCCAAGAAATTTTATCAGTCTCTTTAACTGTGATTTAATCTCTGTTTATATAATATGCTAATGTTTATGTAATTTACTGAATATATTTAAGTTTTTATTCGTATTTCTACTTATAACTTCACAGGTTTTTGTTGTCCCTTTGTCCTCTCTTGTTGTCCCATTTCCTTGCCTTTATTTTCTTCTTAATCCACCTCACACAAAATTGGAAGAGGAATACAGTAAAGACAATAGATTGGTTGGAAGTATTATTTATCACAGCTGTAATATATTTTCTCTCCACAGACTTGGGATGGGTGAACAGTGTACGGATCAACCTGCCGGCAGTGAAACGTCGGGCTGAGACTTTGGGTACAAAACGCACAGTGAAAAAACAGTGGCAGGCAGCTTGGCTTTTGCGTGCTGTGACTTGTATTGACCTTACCACTCTCTCAGGTAATACAGGTTTATGGGTTAGTAAATCAGTAGTTGAAATATTTTAATGGAGACTTTCGTTATACAGTATCTTTGAGATTGAAGCCAAGAATTACAGTGAAATAGCAAATTGCAATACAGGGGTATGTTTTTTCAATAGGAAATATAGTAGACAGGAATGGAACCCCCCAAATTACACTCAAAATCCTGAAGGTATTTATTTCACTGTAAGACCACCTCAACACCAGGCAGACTCATCACACCACACATTGTTACCAGATGCTGCAACTATACCATACCCTGAACGGAGAAATGACTGAAAGTCCAAACACCTGTCATCTGCTGCTTGATACTGTTATTGCATGTTGTCAGCTGGTGAAATGCAGGGGTCCATATGAGACTTAAATTTTTCCAGGCTTATATTGCAAAATAAATAAGTTTAATCCCACAATAAAGAAAATTGTGAGTAATTTACGATTTTGCAAATTAAATTGAGTGAAATAAGGAACCCCAAAAATAACATGAGTCTACGATATTAATTATGTCGGGAATGTAATTTTGTTGAGATAATAAATGTTAAATCTCATGGCTTGTCAGTCACAATGGTAATTGGATCCTTGTAGAGGGTACCAGTCAACCAAGGATGTCTTCATTTTTACAAGTAAGTGTTAGGTCAAACCTTACTAAATGTAAAGTGATTAATATGAGCAATGATTTAGAAACTAAACACTGGCTCATGATTGACTGTTTGTGAAAGTATAGTAATTTTAGTAAACATGGAATTACTTTTTTTTTTAAATTTCGTACACAAATCTTCTGAACTGTTGAGAGAGTAAACCATATTTTTTATTATTTTTTAATAATTTTAATGATTTTACTCTTGTATCTTCGACTGTTGCTGAATTCAGAGAAATTTTCTTCCATCTTTTATTGATACTGTAATCAATTTTCTTTTCTATGACATCACCTTTGGCAGTATTCAAACTTTATATTGTCACATCCTGGACAGCAAACTCCTTTTATTTTTTAGATCTTATAGTAATTTTTCAATACTCAACAGGTGATGACACTAATGCTAACATTCAGCGGCTCTGCCACAAAGCAGCACGCCCTGTTCGCTATGACATCATTGAGGCCTTGGGTATGGAGAATGCTGGCATCACCTGTGGAGCTGTGTGTGTCTATCCTTCCCGGGTAGCTGGTGCCGTCAAGACCCTAGACAAGATTGGAGTGGATATTCCTGTAGCAGCAGGTAACAGACTGTGCAATACTGTATACCTCTCCTGTGTGAATTTTTAAACTATTGGTAGGGGAGGAACAGTCACAGTCTATGGCAAAGAAAGGGTCATTGGCAGTTTTGGGGACACAGAGTTGCTTTGGTTCCATTGACAATAGGTAACCATACATCTTTATTTGCAGGTTTTTAAGGCAATAGATATGCTATTCCCATGATGACCCATAGTGATATCAAGATTGCTTTATCTGATATTGATTGTAAAGGACCATGTACAGCATTATATTTGCTTAATTACAATATAAAATTGAAGGATGTGTTTGGAAATATTTAAGCAGTTTATATATTAATTCTCTAAAATTTATGTAGACTTACAGTATAACATTGTACGGTATGGTATTATGCATATTTCAACAATATGTAGTATCATGACTAATTTATGTTGTTATGTAGAACACTGTTTGAATTACAGTATTTCATACTGTATTTGAAAATCTGTTCTTGAAAATTTTGATTTTAATGTGATAATAAAAAAGCTGATGCAGGGAATATTCATTTAAAAATTTTCATGTTTTACAGTGGCGACTGGATTCCCATCTGGACAATACCATCTCCAGACTCGATTGCAAGAGATCAAGTTAACTATTGCTGATGGTGCAAAGGAGATTGATATTGTTATCAATCGAGAAATGGCTCTCACTGGCAACTGGGAGGGTGAGGAATGTCATGTGTTTTAGCTTGATACTGTACAGAAGTGGGCCTCATATCACTAAGGTCTACAGATTTAGTAAATATCTTTTATTTTGATAGAATTTTCTTGGCCTTGGCAGAGTTGATGCTTTACGATTAAATATGGGCATTTAATTTGATTTAATTTTGGGGGCATTTATGTATTTCACTCTGGTATTGTCAGTTTTGTCACCCATACACTCCAAAGATCTTTATAGTCAGTCTGGTTTCAATTTGCACAGTGTCTGCTCTCAGAACTCCTTATTAATTTATTTGAAAGTCTGTCAAAGATGCTTTTATTCTTTTAACCAATGAATGCCCATAAATTTGTTCATCACCTTTAATGATATACAGTTGTGCAATTTCACAACTAAAAGAATTTACCTCACCTGATAACTCATATTTTTTGTTCATGATTTGCAGGATTGTATAAGGAACTGAAATTAATGCGAGCTGCATGTGGTGATGCTCACATGAAAGCCATCCTGGCAGTAGGAGAGTTAGGTTCCATGAACAATGTGTATAAAGCCTCCTTGGTGGCCATGATGGCAGGGGCTGATTTCATCAAAACCTCAACTGGCAAGGAAGGGGTCAATGCCATCCTGCCAGTAGGAGTTGTCATGTGCAGAGCCATTAGGGACTTCTATGAACACACAGGACACAAGGTAAATTTATACAAGCATACTTGGCAGAATGTTTTTAATTGGGTTTTCCACAACTCTCCCTTGCCATTTTATCCACTCAACCCAATCAATGTTTCTGGTGTGAATTTCCAGTGTAAATTTCAGTGTGGCACTTTTGACACTTATTTTGACGAATATATGCCGGGGCCCCCAATTATAAACCGTAGGGTAAGTTTTGGACAGAATTCATGCTGAATAACTTTGCATTCTAAGTTGGAGATCAAAATCATATTCATATTCAAAATTGTTCATGATCTGCTAAGAACCATACTGTAAGTCACTCAAAAATTTTATGTATTGCATTGTATTCCCCAACCTCTCCTCTGTCCCTTGGGTAAACAAGAGAGTCAATTGGGAACCTGTACATGTGAGTGAGAGTCCTCTGAAATGACTATTGTATGTCACATTCCTACCTGAGCATTTTCTTCTTTGGCACTTAGCAGATTATGGTCCGCAGCTCTTCATATGAGATACCGTTCATACATATATGATATTGAGTACTTGTGGTGAGAAGTACACAACTATGTGACAAAAGGCATAATAGCACCAGTGAGCGAAAAGCTACAGTCACTAGCAATGATGTAACAAAAAGAAATGTGTCATCACAAATGTTGGTGAACACACAATCATGCCTGAAAGTATGCTGTGAATTCTTTTGGAAAGCTGACAATGTAATAAAGCATCATAAAAGTTGTGAAGTGCCCGAAGCAATATGCATCCCGTCTTTCCCAAGCATCAACTGGTGTGATGGCCTTCACGGGTCATGGACTTGCTCCCATGTTGCCGTAGTGGAGTTGCTATTTGCAATAGATATGAAAAAGTCTGATATAATAATTTACTAATACTGTGATTTGAGAATATCATTAAGTTAACATAGAGCAATAGTGTATATTACCATTAACAGAGTGCATACCATTGTTGTCTCTCACACACACACACACACACACACACACACACACACACACACACACACACACACACACACACACACACACACACACACACACACACACACACGCACGCACGCTCACACACACACGCACACACACCAAAGAAACCATATACAGTATCTGAATTTGAAACGTTTTCATAGTAGCTTGATTATATATTATTTAATGTACTGTGTATGTGGAAAGTCACATCACATTGTGACAGCACTGAGTGTGAGCTCATTCAAGACGAGACTTCACAAACGCTGGCCAGTACTTGCCAACATTACATAACAGAGACATGACCGACTGCCCAAGCGGCTAACAGGCCGATCGGTGGCGAAGAGGATAAAATAAAATATTACTTTCTTTCTAGACCTCAATAACGGAAACATATATTCATCTTATGTTCAGAGATTTACAGTTACCCTCTTTTTCTACCATGCAAATAATAAACTTTTATTATGAAAAAGAATAAACAATTATGGTCAAGTTAATACTAGTAAAGGATTTATTGTTTTATTACTTAATTCTTGTAAACAAATTCGCGGGTAGATGACATGCAGGGTGATGATAGTAATGGTGGTAATTTTGACTTAAGGTGAGGTAGTAATGGTAGTGGGGACTGGTTAGAGGAGGTGCTACAGTAATACAAACTTGCGAGTATTTTTAAGGCATTACTAAAAAGTGTGGCTTATATTCGTCAAAATGGGTATCTGTCCTGTATGACACGACTGCAGTCAACTGCCAAATGTGACATGTCAGCATTAAATGGGTTATTCAAGGGTTTCTGTACCCCTTAATCCACTTCACACAGATGATGGAAAGAAGTAAAGATAAAGGGTAAATAGATAGATACAGTATTACATTATTCATTATAAATTTTACTGACCAAAAATGCCCAGTACAGTATTAAAAAAGAATCTCAGGTCCTTGTTCTGTAATGAAAACCCCAAGGGGTAACACATCTTGTAAGACAGTTAGGGCAAGTGGAAGGAGAGTTTGTGTTGTTTTTTATTTGGACTGGGAAGAGCTAAAAAAAAAAAGAAGAAGAAATTCTGCTTCATTCAGAAATGGAGAGAGATATTGATGAATAAATGATATGTATTTGCACTAAATAAAGAATAACACCTGCAGGTAGGATTCAAACCTGCTGGTGGGATCCGGGCAGCCAAGGATGCTCTTGTATGGCTAATGCTCATTAAAGAGGAGCTTGGTAATGATTGGCTCAACAACCACATGTTCAGGTAAGAGGAGCAATATTGTTTCTTTTTTTTATTGATTGATTTATGAATACAGTACCAGAAATAACTTCAAGGATCACCTTCAGTCTCCATAACAATTCTAGGTTGACAACAGGGTTTATTAATACTTAAAACCAAAGGACTTGTATATACAGTACTTTTTTCTTTTCTTTTTTGTTAAATGTTTTGACAAAAGGTTCCTAGAGAATTTGAAGAAGGTGGCATGCAAGGAGGTTGTGGCTTACTTGTTGTAAATCATTAGATAAGCAAGTTGTATGGGGTGATGTGATTATATGTTTTTTTTTTAGAAATAAAGATTGGGTGGACCCATTTTCTTTCTCCAGATAAACAATTAACTTGTTTTAGGGACATTTTGAACCAGTCTAAGAGGAGCTGTACTTGAGTGAGAAACCAAAAGTGGAATGTTTAAGAAAAAATGATGAAATAACTTTGAAAATAGAGTAGCAAACACTAATGTATAGTTTTAAATATGCAGAACTGTTTAATTTGCCTAGTGTGCTGTGAATACTTGTTCCAGCCTCTGTATATGTGAGTTGTAGCCTTTCATAACACACTACTATTAAATGAAAAGGGAACAGCAAAAGCAAGAAAATTGATATGGTAAAGAATAAAGATGTAAGAAATTTGTAAAAGAAGAAAATATGTACCAGTTTATATATAGAAAGAGTGAAGAAATAGCAAGTATGATGTGTGAATTATAATTGTATTGAGGTTACACGAATATGTGTAATACAAGCTGAATAACGTGTGAGCAAAGATGTACAGTAATGCTGCTGAATGTTAAAAGCAAACACTTGAATTGCAGATTAGGATTGAGTTGGTTCATTAAACATTTACCTGTACTGTATGTAAGCGCAGGATGTAATACCCGAGTATATTTAAAATTTTCTTGTCAGATTTCCTCTAACGGTAATTAAGTTTTCTTTTAAATGCTGACACAGGATTGGTGCATCAGGACTTTTGGGTGACATCGAGCGTCAACTCTTCCACTACGTGTATGGGCGCTATGCTGCTGCGTCTGAGCTTCCGATGGCCTAAGAATGTTGACAGTCAGGAGTGGTAATTGAAAATGTCTTGAATATAAAATTTGTCTTTTCCGGTTCAATGGCTGATAGTGTGGTTTTAAGAATAATGTTTAATTTTTCAGTACATGAACAAGAATGTTTAAGTTAATTGGTACAATTTTATGTTTGGAAGTGTACTGTCATAGTTAAATTCTTAAAAATAATATACGAAAGTAAATACCTGTACGTACATGTAATGTATGCAAATTGGGCTCTCCAGAAATATCAAGGAAGACATGACCTTCACTAGTACTAATTGTACTATGCTTTCTAAGGAGCATTCATATAAGTGGTACTTGCTCAGGTAAGAATGCAAAGACATTCCATAAATGTATTCCTACTACTGTATCTGCCACAACTAGGGATGTATGAGTCACTGAAATGGTTTTCATTCTGTATTCTTTAAATTTCTTCCATACTGCTTACCATTCTGTGTAGTCTTAAGTGAAATTATATTTGCTGTGCCAATATACCTTCAGGAGCTCAATGGAATATAGATAAAGTTCTATTAATCAGTGCCTTATAATATAAGAATTAAATCTAAAAATAGTTATACCTGTACTGTATATGTATAATTCTGATGATGCTTTATTTTTGACTGTATTTCTCCAAGTACAGTATATGAAGTTTTAATTCTGTATTTATACCTGCATGTTCAAACACAATATGTAACTCAGCTCATAAAAGACAAGAAATGCTATACACCACAGAGAAAAAGAATTCTGATAATTATCATTACTGCTCTCCCCCTTGTGTGTGTGTGGAGTGGAACAAGGGATACAGAAACCTTGAGATTAAATGTTATTGAAAAGGCAAGTGTAGGTATACCTGGCAACAACAGGAAAGTACAGTAGAGTTGCTCGTTAATGCAGATCCTAATAAGATTAATTCACACACTCTTATGCACTTGCTATTATCCATTAACGCGAGTCCGATGCATGATAACACGAGCCAAGCTGAACTATGGTGATCCTTGGAAAAATTTCCCAAGTGGTCCATCAGTTCTCCAGCAGCAAAATTGTAAGTGATCCAGCTAACATTATCATCCATGGAGTTTGGCTAGCCAGTGAGCCCAGACAACATGGCAGTATTTGTTGATCATTGTTTTTTCTGCACTATGCAGTGTGTATTGCCTTTTATTTCTGAATATGTTTATCATTTCCACCACTTTTCAGTTTGTTTTTCATTATTTTTGTGATCAACTCCAACAACATTGAGTCAACAGGAGTTGTGGCAGGAAGGGATAACACAGTGGAGGACAGAACCAACCAGACACTCCCCATTTGCCCAGCTCACCAGCTAATGCATCCCTACATACATATGGTATTATTTTCCAAGTTTCATTGTGTGTTTTATTTACTTTGTACTGCACATGTATTGTGTTCAAGCACTGCATTTTCTTCTCAAATGTTTAGCATTTACTGCTTTTTAATAGTTATTGAGCATTATGTAGTGTATTTTTTGGCCCTTCAATCATAGTTCCTATTTTCCCATTGAAATTAGGTACTCTGTATGTGTATTAATACATTTTTTATTAACACAAGCTTTGGTGGTCCCTAACATGCGGTAACTAGTGACTATTGTATGTACAATACACCTGTTACGTATTGGAAATGTTGTAATGTATAGCAGATTCGAGCAGTAAGCTACATCTGTAATCTTTTTCTTTTCATAATTTGCTGCTTAATAATTAGATTACAGTATTTTAATTTAGAGTAAAAGTATCTGATGTGCCATGTCTCACCATGTATTCCAGTGATAAGCAAACTACATATACAGTAATATCTCTGTTAGCTGGAATCCCCATTAACCAAAACTCTTCAATACTGTACCTGGAATTGAAATTGGATCAAATTTTTTCGGAAAAATAATCTCAATTGTGGGTCTGTGAACGAGTTTCTGTGATTGAAAATCAGGCAAATTTTTTTTAGAAAATTACAGAAAATCTATCCTTTGTTTATCTGGGTCTGTGAGCAAATTTTGAGGTTGAAATAATCTGTAATTCTGAAAACTTAAGAGAAATTTTGGGAAACACACTCCAATTTTTTTCTCCGGTGTGGGAGCAAATTCTGAGGACAAAATAATGCACAATTTCTGGAAAATTACAAGAAACTTTTCCCAGTACCCGGAAAATTTCTGGGATATGGGATTTTTCTGGGTTTGAGAGAACTGTCTCTTCACCCAGAAATCTCTCATCGTCAGAAGAACTCTGTAACAATTATTTTGGCTAATGGGGATATCACTGTACTGTACTCACAATATCCCAATCCCTGATATGTAAGCATGATGGTGGCTACACATGGTATTAAAAAGAATCCCAATATATTTTAGAACTAACCGTGAACGAGATGGTTTACACAGGTGAGAGATATAACTGTACGTACAGTATATAAGCCTTTATAGAGACCAAGGTGTTTGAAGACATTTATGCTGCCTTCTCTATGGGCTTTGTCAAGTATCATACAAGTGACCACATGCACAGTAAAACTTCACTTTATTGGACTAATGTAGGCTTAAACAAGTTCATAAAATTTGAGTGACAATACATGGGTAACAAATGAATTATTAAGTTACAGTATGGCCAGCAGTCATCATAGTTGTCTGCTAGTACCTGTTGATCTTATGATTGGATATGAGCAGAAGTCACTGGAAATGTTTGAATTTATATACAGTATATTTAATACATAATATTGATTTAGTATTACTAACAGTAATACTCACAGAAGAAATATTTTGCGCATAGTCACCCAGTCAGACATCAACACTTGGGAAGTATCTTGGCTCCAACACCTATTTCCAAGATGACTGGTATTTTACATACACCAGAGTCCTTGCACAGATTCACTTCACATTAAATACTTTTTTTTCCTGGTAATCAAGAATTATATTGGCATTACACTTCACATAGCAGGATGACTTGGTGAGCTTAGTTGTGATCATAAGCCATTGGAACACTGCTGAATCTTTTTTCAGACTATTTTCTCTGTTATATCAAACCTCAATCACTCATAACTGGAATCACGAGTGTTCAAAAAATGGAGAGGAAAATAAAATACTGTACTACAGTACAGTTTACTGTATCCTAACTCACTAGACAGACCTGAGTACTGTATGCCAGGGCCTGAGCAGTAAGTTATTAATATGGACGAGGAACTGTGTCAGTCATGTTCTGTGAGGTAACATCAGAAAATTAAATATTGGATTGAAATAATCCAATGAAACTGAGTTTTGCTATTATATAATCTGATAATGTGAAGTCTTTACTATAACCAGGAATGGATGTAAAACTGTTGCATGATTGAGAACATCTGGCAAAGTGTGAAATAGCTTAAAAAAATATGATTAGTGACATGTACTAGTTTATAGTAATGAACAAATCATAGATACTCTATATGTAAATTTATTTGATTCACATGAAAGAAGTCTTCTGTTATTAAATGTACAGTCATGTGATAATAGTTGTTTCAACCCTGTATGGACTACAAATTTGTCTCCTGAGATATATACTGGTGGTTACCTAATAATTATACAGTACGTACTTGCTAATTATGGGACAATGAAATTCTTTTGTTCGAGCAGTTATTTATGTGAACACAGTTTTAACATGGTACATTTTCACTTCAATAAAGTGATGTAATGAAGAGTACCAATGTTAACCCCTTCTCTACCATAAACCAAAACCATGATACTAACACAATACGAATGCCTGTACCATGATTTCAGTTTATGATAAATGGGTTAATATCCGGTACATGCAAATTTTGAAAAACATATCACAAATCAGAATTTTATAAAATTTCAGCTGATACTTAAATAGTAATTAATGACCAACTCATGAGGGAGAAGCTTCTTTAACACTCTGGACTACTAACTGCCAGCCACCCTCCCACCAACTGCTGGGCCACTGCTGGCAGTGGGGGGATATGAGGGTGCTTAGCAATCCATACAGTACAGGTACTCCTCGACTTATGACCGCCCTGGTCGTATAAAATATTTTTCAAATTACGTATTTTCGAGTCCTTACGTTAGTGATCGCACTGTGTACTGACAAAATTTTCGTTTGTAATTCCCTTTAAAATGGCTGGCAAGCGTAAAGGTGAGAGTTCTTGTGGTGCAGAGAAGAAAAAGAGACACCCATTTTAGATTTTCTATGTATTATTTTCGCATTTTTGACTTACGACCACGTCGTCTGTCCCTAACCCCGTCGTAAGTCAAGGACTGACTGTAAACCGTACATACAGTATTTTCTTTTATACTTTTAGCTATTGAATGTGTTTTAATTGAGGTAGGGCCATCATTGAAACATTCTATCTAAATAATATTGTTTTCATATATATATATATATATATATATATATATATATGAAAACTCGTTATTTTTCACAAAATCATGAGTTCAAGACAAAACAGTTTTCATATTGGTGTGTAAAAGTTCAATTTAATTTTGTACTTATTATAGAAAGTAAGAACTGCATTCGTTATAGAGATATAGGCATAAAAAATTAAGTTCTTTACACAAAATTAGTAAGAAGTACTGTAGTCCAAAGTGTTAATAACTATGAAATGTGATGTAAATTACTCATTTACACAAAATTTATTACATTTATGTTAGCACCATTACTCTGTCAATGCAGTCCCAAAGATATGTGAATGGGTAAAGGTATACAGCTTATGCTAGCACAATTATAATTTAAGGTATACACTGACATTGTGAAACATAGCCACTGAAGTCTGATAATAACTAGCAATACTTATGTTCAGTACAGTATACTGATAGACCATGTACAAAGACCGTACATGTACTTACTATACTCCTTAAAGGGCGTCAATATCGTGGGTTCAATCTGCACAATATTGTTGTTGAAACCTATATATACGTAAAAAGAGATAATTATAGTGTATCTATGGGCCTAAAAATCGGCATCATACCAACTTTGGACATCTAAATTGACTCTAAAATACGTATAAAAATTCTGATGTGTTGGGATCATATCTCCTCCCTCCCCAAACACACCTGAAATTTTGTGTGTTTAAGGTCGGGGGTTGAAAGCAAACAATTGTTTTTTTGGGGGGAAGAAAAAACTATCATCATCATGTTGACATACATACAGGTTCCACAAATAGTATCATGACACCTTACAACTCCTGATGTGAGCCTCTTAAGTGCTGGATTTTCTTGAGATCTGTTAAACCTGCTGCCAAAGAACATACGTCTCGGGAAATATAAATACTCTACTCCTAAATTTTCTGTCATCTAAGGAAATATTTACACTGTCAGGAGTAAACTGTATAGGCTGAATAATTTTGATACAAGGAGGTTAAGCGACTAATGAATACTGACTTACCAGTAGATACTTCTCTGTACAAGTTTCATTTAAGCTGCTGAAGACAAATTGAAACTGTGACAGATGCAAATAACATGTAGTGTGTGGACAGGTACAATGATTAGTTCAGTAATGTTGTACTGTCAACTAGGGACCTTTGACTCAAGGGACATCACAGTTTAAAAAAGAAAAAAAAAGGATTAACAGGATGTCCTGATTTACCATGATAAAAGACTTGTACACATTGCTAAATAATTTCACATTTGCTTTGCACCCTGGGAATCATCTATTAGAAAATATGATACAATACCACTTTTTTTCTTTCCATGACTACAACAGTTCCAGCAAAATGCTGACTCGGCATTCCAAAATTACACAATCAAATACTCAGCATACCACATACTTCGCTGTAAAACTTACTGATTAAAAGTTAAATGGTGTATTTATCAACTGTACAAGTTGTGGAAAGCACTTGTCACATGATATCATGGGAAGAGAAATTATGAAAAAAACTTAAGATGATATGTCACAAACATTAACCTTGAGCTGTGTGTTGGTAATGGTGTGAATGTGTATTGTTGAACTCTGTTGACCTATAAAAGGTATGCTGATGGGGTCCTCCTCAAATGTGAAAATGAACCAAAAATATCAAATAAAATGGATCAGCTTTAATTAGCATCAATACTCAAAGTTGCAAGATAATTTTTTTCTCTATTATAAAATTTGAAATTTCATTAAATAAATTTTTCTTTTCAAACATATGCAATAAAGTATATACTGTACTGTATACAAATACTGCAACATTCAAGATACAATATTAACTGCAGTTTGTATGTAAATAAGTTCTTTTATCATTACTGTACTGGTATACAGTATTTTGAAAACAAAAATAGAAAAAAATTATATGAACTTCAAAGTACATAAACAAGTATGAAGTAGATCCTCAAAACATGAATATTAATGTTTCAGGTAAAGCTCTTCTTGTTGATATATAGATATCCCTCGTTTAACGTTAATTCAATTTTGCGATAAAATATTTTTGACACCCTTTCTTGCATAATGTTAGGTCAGAACTCAGTTTAGTGATGATGTGACTAACTGGGAAGGGGGGAAAACTGGGAATTCTTTGTTCCAATTGTGCATCTCTACTCTCACTTTATTGTTTGCATTTACTCTACCTGCATGCTTGAGAGTATGCTGTGATTTATTTATTTATTTTTTTATTTATTTATTTTTTTAATAAAGTTTTGGGAGCAATGAATATCCCGTCTCCCCCACGCGTGAGCTATGACACGACTGACTTGTGAAATAGCACCCCCCATGCCGGAATGGAGTTGCCATTTACGATATATTGTTCAACGAAAAAATCTACTAATTTGCTGATTTGTATATATTGACTCAAAAGTGTGATTCATAACTTGCTATGATATCTGAATATCAGCAGATTACCTTAGAGCAACAGTGAATATTACCATCAACAGAATGCATACCATTGTTGCCAAACACACTTTCAAGATTGTTTTTTATACGGAGTACTGTACTGTACAGTACAGTACGTATATTTGAATTTAAAAAGCTTTCACAGTGGCTTGATAATGTATTATTAATAAATGTGGAAAGTAAACAACCCATTCTAATGCCTCTTATGTTCCAATTACATAAATTTAGGATACAGATGTATTAGAATGATGATAACTGCCTGACAAGCTTCCTAGACATCAATAATGGGAATGTATATTCACATTTACCCTCCTAAATATACCATACAGAGAATAATCTCTCTTTATTATGAAAAAAATAGTAAACAATTATGATCAAGTTAATATCAGCAAATGATTTTTATGTTTTATTATTACTGTACAGTATTACCCCGCTTTACGCGGTTTCACTTTACGCGATTTCTCATATACGAGGTGCCTCGCCAGAACCGAACTTTAACTTTCCGCGGTTCATGTACCCATATACGCGCAGAGTGTCCGGCTCGACGCTATTTTTAGATTAGCCCCACCCGCCTGCTCCCCCCTCCTCCCGCCTATGCCTGGGCAAGCCGCGTGGTAAGGTTGAGCAGTGCATGTCTCTGTTGCGTTATCACTGACGTCATATGACGTATCGGACTGTGATTGGCCATGCATCCCTACCCCCTTCTGCCGCAACCCACCACAGCCAGTGATAGTGACAGTGAAGATGACTTTGAGGGATTTGTCAGGGAAGCCCTGACAACTGTAACTGATAGTGATGGTGATGCACCTAGTAATGGTGATTCACCTGAGGGCCAGTCATCTGCCCTCTGCCTCGGAACCAGCCTCCATCCCTGTATGCCGACCCATCTCTTCTACTAACGTAAGTGTTACACATAACTTTTAGTTTTCCTAACCTAACCTTTATTTTTCCTAACTTAACCTTTATTTTTCCTAGCCTAACCTCTTCTATATTACTTGTTTGTGCATACCATCATAAAGTTAAGATAAAATTTTTACTACAACATAGTTGTGTGTCGTCAAAAAGTGGAGTTTGGGGGTCGGGCCAGTCTCTATTGGAATTAATCCCATATGTTCTGTTGTTCCATTTACGCGGATTTCACTTTCCGCGATACCCTGTGGGTTCAATTGACCGCGTAAATCGGGGTACTACTGTACTGTACTATAAGGGCTTAGGACACAATAAGTACAGTACTGCACAGTTCGCTGACCTTCATTTCTTGTAAACAAATTCACGGGTAGATGACATGCAGGGTGATGGAGGTAATTTGGACTTAAGGTGAGGTAGTAATGGTGGTGGGGACTGGTTAGAGGTGCTAGAGCACACAAGGAATTACAGTAATACTTATTGGTATTTTTGAGGCTTTACAAAAATTTGTAACTGATAGTAAGCCGCATCTCCACTTATCCCTCGTTTAGCGACAATTTCACTTAACATCAGGTTTTCAGAAACCCAACCCCATCATTAAAGGAGGGATACATGTAATTATTTTCTCATTTCTGGAGGACTGTGCTAATGTTAGTGATCTATGGAATGATTTGATTTAAGAAGTACAGTACAACATTTTAGACACAGGAGTGCCGGTATTGATGATGCTGTGTGGTACAGTGTAAGAGTAAGTGAGTCATTGCTTACATCATTTAAGTTCATGTTAAAATTATTAACATCCTCGCAACCATGAACAATTGTATTTAAATGAATAAACAAATCTGCTCAACCAATGGGAGATTGATATGCTTGCAACTGGTCATAAAAATTAACCCAAAATAATTTTTGTTTCCGTTTCTTAAAGGCTCAACACTGAAAACAAGAGCTTGAATTGTAAAAGTGAACATTGCCAGTATATTTTCATGCGAACATCATTCTCCAAAGATTTTTAAACAAAGTCAAATGAAACTGAAGTTAATGGACAAACACCAAAAGTTGATGGCCAGAAAATATTGTCATACCATAATGAGACCACAAATATGCAGGCATATGAAAAGTAAAGGCAAAGCTGTACAGACTCCTTGAAGAAATTCACCTTCTGATATGTTTACATCACATAAAGAGAAAATGTGTTGTGTGAGCCACATGTACTATCCCACTTTGGCAACTGGAAAAACTCAGGTTTCCATCTAGTGACATTGATAGCTCCTCGACACACAGGAGCCAAAGACTCGGAGTCAAGAGTTCCATCTCTTTCATCCAAGGAAAGTGTTCTAAGGTTTGGAAAATTTGGCAAGAGACGCTGCAGGAAAAAGTGCAAGGCTGACAGACTACCTAAATCACAACAAAACTGAAGATGGAGAGTCTGAACAGCATCGGATGATAGAAGAGCAAAATCATCTTCCATGTCCAATGCACAGGACAACCCCAGCATCTGCAGGAGAAAGTTTGTTACAATATTCCTATTTACTCTTTGTTTACCTTTACAGTACAAATCAATTCGCTAAGAAAAAAGCAACACCTGCTGTAACTTTCTCTATTGAAAATGCCATTTTTTCTATATCCACAACACGTCGCTGTAAGTACATAAAAATTTAAGTAGCTTGGGAACCAATGATTTAAAACAGTGGCTCCCACTATTTTTAAAAATCAATTTAATCATCTTTTAATCAATTTTACACTTTCTACCCTTACAGGTGTTTATATTATTTTTACAGGTATTTACATTATTTTCAAGGTGAACGCGTAATTATTTTATCCATGTACGTATCTTGTGCATATGGAGGAGATTGAAATATACTATACACTACTGAGAAAAAAATTGAATTTTTTTTTTAATTTGCTAATAAAGAAAAGAAAAATTCAATACTGAACTATATAGTAATCATTTCTTATAATGAAATTCATTTTAGTGGAACGACTGTGAGGCTTTTATTTGCTTCTCCATCTAGTGGAGCCTTCCGCTAGATGGAGGAAGTTTCCGGTAACATCCGTGGGCTCGCATCTTTATTTTGGCATGAATCAGATAGTTTCCTCCCGCACATCATCATATTGTTGTTGTCTCCCAGGTTTTTTTGGGGGTATTCTGCCATCGTGTGTGCATGAATATCGTTGTCCTCATCCCTAAATGGAGTGCTAAATCCAGTGAAGAGAAGGGTAAGAGTGTGTCCCAAATTTACATTAACTAAAATTTTTTACTCACTATTTTATTACCAATTTTCCAAATATTCTGTATGTACAGTATGTGTTTTTCAAATGGCCTCATCTCCCCCCAGTTTGGGAACCACTGATTTAGAGCCATTAGGGTCTTTGTGAGCCTTGGCATAACTATGATTCTTAATGGGAATTAGGTAAGGCTGACAAGTTGATAAGTGGTTAGCCTGTGAATATTATTCCCACCACCTACACTGCCCATGTCATGCTCTACCATATACTGTAATTATGAAGAAACTGACACATAATGATAAATACTCACTCTGTTACATGACTGACTCACCTCTAAGTTGGGAGCAGCTCTCAATACATTATCTACCACCTTGGTGTAGTCGGAGTCATGAGTGGCATCGGTTTCAGAGGGAATATCCTGGATCACCAGGGTATGCAGAGTTATGCAGGGACGAAGGAGAGTCCTGATGGAAAATGACAGGTTTACATACTAAATTTTGGTGAACAACACAGACCCTTCACTGATAATTATTCATTCATTTTCACCTGATGTGTTCTGTGGTGTTCCTATTCCACAACAGGTCCCGAGATATCCATTTACAGTAATCCTCCCGTTAGCCGGAATCCCCATTTCCCGGTACTTCCCAATAGCCAGAATTGATTTTGGGCCAGAAAATTTTCTGTTTTGGGCATGGGAACGAGTTTCCGAGGATGAAAATCAGGCAAATTTTCTGGAAAAATTCTGAAAAAATCTCTCCATGGGAATAAAATTTCCGGGAGTTCCCGATGCTTCTGCATGTTTCTCCACATTCCGGGCACGTGGGTGGGCTAGCTGCTTGAGTAACTTACACGCTTAGTTCATATTCTGTTGTGCAGTACTGTACATTACTGTATTGTACCATGATACAATCAGCCAAGAATACAATGTTAAAGACATAAAAAGTGATTAGTTACCTATACTGTACAGTACTATACATTCAGCAGTGGGCAGTGTATGCCTATTGTAGGCTAGGGTGTAGAGTTGTATGTGACAGAAACACCTGCTGCAATAGATGGTACAGAGCAAAGGCAGGCCATCCTGTATCATCACATTACCATTTGGCCTGACTGTATCTTATCACAAGCTCAAGACAACAGCATCTGCTGGTGAGTCCAGTATATTTTGTTTAAATAGTACGGTACGGTATGCGGTATATATAGTGTATACAGTACGTAGTATATTTTGTTTATTTATAAGATATTTTATGTGTACTGTGGTGTTTGCATAAATTAATACAGCTCTGTGCCTGTCTGTGTGAGATGCATGGTTTAGACTCAGAAAACTTGCCCCTGTATATGAAAAAATTTCAGTGATGAGAAATTCATAATATACTCGAAAATCTCTCATTCTCGCAAGAGCTCTGCACCAATTATTCCAGCTAACGGGGATATCACTTTATATTTTTCACATATGCTATTCCTATAAGTAAACAAAAAATGGATCAATCATTCTAGAGTACAGTATTTGGTTCACTGTATGTATACAGTACTTAAAAGTTAATTTCATAGGGAGTACATAACTATCACCCAATCCATCCTCACCTACAGTATATTGGTACACACATTTACATGATGAAGGGAAGACATATCACTTACATCACATAATTAAATAATGGTTCAGATGATTTAATTTACATTAAAATTAAATTATGAGATCATGTAATTCAACCTCATACTATCCCAATGCGGTAATTTCATATTCATTATTTTAACTACTACAGTACATGTACCTGTTAAATCTTACTAAAGATCAATGTTTACTTCAACTGAGTACGCTGGAATAAAGCAATAATCATATGCTATATATCTTCAACAATTCCTCATGAACACCAAAAATACCATATCAACAATTGAACATTTTCCCCTGCTATTTTGAGCTTTTTTCTACTATAATTGAGGGTGGTCATTAATAATAAAGACCCACTATCACACACAAACATTATTTCTTCCTTTGTTGTCATTCATTCTTACTGCTATTACATGCAGTCTGCTATGGTATTCCCCTTCCATAATAATGCCCTAATCTTGTATCTATCATCTCCCATGAGCAGCACTTTCTTCTCAAAATGCAACTCAATTTCTGGTTCTCTTTTTCATGTACACCGTTGATTCCTTAATATCCATCACCCCTCATTTCTAGTGCAAAAACCTTGGACTGCATGTTCAATGGTATTTGCACTGAACCTACTACCTGTACTATTTTACAGAAAATTAAAATAGGCTAAATTAATAGGATTTTCACTTAATATTTACCAAGAAAGCCCACAGAGGGCTTCAAGAGGCTGGGGATCAAGGGATGCACAGTTATCTACAATAAATAAAAAAGCATAACATATTAACTCCTGTATGGCGAAATATTAGAAGATTAAGGAAAATAATAATAATAATATTACACCTACTGTACTGTATTGTCAAATAATGTTTTTATTCCAGGAATAATCTAAATCATTCCAACAATTACTTGAAAAGATCAAGTGGGCCAACAACCAAATGCTAATTGAAACCCTAAATAAGCACTACCTGATATACAGTGGGAACATAAAAACAAGACACTGTACAAACATGCCCAGTGGTACCTGGCTCACCCACCTGTAGCTTTTTGATGCATCGTCACTGTCACTCATTGCCATGGACACTGCCAGAAAGTATAATCTTGGACACAAGTTGATCAGTTGATATAAAGTGTTGGAATTCAATTGTGCATACTCATAACATATATGTAGGCTGGTGATACAGCTGCCTTGTGCGTGTAGTGTTGGCAGAACAACTTTTGTTATGTCAACCTCTTCGTACGGCCGCAGTGCCAGAGATTCAAAAGCACTCATTTGCGAAACCAGCTTACATAGTTTTGCTCCAGCTTCCTCCAGTCTTCTTTCAAACACAGAATCACAATCTGCACCCTTAAAATTATCATCAACATGTAATCGAAGTTCTCTTAAAAATGGAGCTCGGTTGACTAGGCATCTCAGTCTTTCATCAAGAATCCCTTTGGTCCTGCAGCTTACCCTCAAAGCTGTGACCTGAGCTCCCACATCTAAGAAAGGTTGCACAAGACTCTTTTCATTTTCCTCCATGTAAGCATCAATTCCACAAAAGCGCACACTTGGATAAAACACACATAACATCTGAATGAATCTTTCAGTTTGTTTCCAATATAGAATATCAACATATCTAAGATGGCTAAATGAAAGTCTCGGTTTTGTGCCTTCTTTCCACGAGTGCACGACCTCTTCACTGGACATACCATCAAAAAAACAAGCAAACAAAGCTTCGTCACTCATAAACACTTGTGGCTGCATGTGTGGAATGGAAAATTCTGTGAGCATTCTACAGTGACTCCCCAAGGACATCATGAAGTCATTACTAAGGGCCCACTGGTTCATCTTTAACACCTGTTGTAAATAAAAAATATATATCAGAAAGATCAAGATTAATAGTATTTCACCTCTGCACTTTCAGCTACTCTAAATTTTGTAAAGGCCAGGAAAGAATAATAATTGATCATTCTTGGAAGCATCGTTACAATCGCAAAATGTTGAGATTAATATGAGTACCTATCCCACGAAAACAATTAGCACATTAAGCAAACACCTCAATTCTCAATAAAATCCCGAGACAAACTGTGATCAACAATCATTTGGGTGGCAAGAATGAAATTATGGAGATGCAAACACTACCACCACATATCTTCTATAAAGGGAAAATTTCCTGACCTGTAAATTTGGGGATTGTTGCACCAGGGCAGTAAGGACAGGCTTGATCCCTAGTTTGTCGTCAGTCACAAACAACTTCTGCAGGGGGTAGGGTCCTAGTCGAGTTATAACTTGAGCAAGATCCCCACACCACTCACTGCAAGTATACAAAGTAAGGATAAAAAAAAAGAGGACTAAGTGAAAGCTTTTAAGTTGTAGTGAGGCTGAGATGCATGTCTCCATAGCTCAACAAATACAGTTCTGTGTATGGATGAAGTGGTGAGGGATATGAAGGTACGATGTCAACATGAATAATGCAATACTTTTTATGGAGACTGAGCAGGACTGCATAGATCAGTGAATGACTTTGACAGGGTGTGTGGTACCAGATGATAAGAAAATAAGGAGTCTGCAATAGGCCGGTTGGCCTGTGCAGAGGCAAGATTAGTGCACTGGATAGGGCACGTACAGTGCGCAAAGCTGGAGATATGGGAAATCAATAGGGCAAAGGAAATATGTTACTACAGAGCACTCTAGATAATCCTGTGTCATGGCCACCCCTTTAGAAGGGAGCAAGGCATCACAAGATTAGGATAAGTCAATCCTTTTTTTAAAATAGTACAATATTCTGTGATTGTTTGTATATAAATCAATACATACAGCATTATATAAGCAGAGCTCCAAGGGCTAAAAATTATTAATATTTCTCACTATCCACATTGCTTATTTATTCAGCACTGCATCGTAATGTCTATTCTATTCCATATATACTTACCACACTACATAATTTGCTTTCCTTTACAGTTTTGCTTTTTTCAGAATATCATCATTAAACATCTCATTTCTTCTTCTTATACGTTAGCAAGTTGATAAGATGTTTCCCCTGTTCAAGGTTGACATGCATCCTCCACATTAGTAAGTCATTAAAAAGTCCCGAAATTTTTGTTAGCCATACACGGTATATGGCCATATACTGTACGGTATATGATATACCCCTTAGCCCTGCATGTACCAGGTGAATGAAAATTTATATGAAATAGATTAAACAAGATATTATTCCTTTAGGTACAAGTGTGAAATATATCAGAAGTGATAGATCCAAAATACACTAAAAAATAATAAACACTTGTTACTCAAGGTGAAAATCTTTTACAAAAGTAAATTATAACAAATGCATGGTATCAATAAAATGAGACCTGTTAAATCCTTGACCTAAAATAAAAATTCTGGAAACAGTGTTATGCCTAACTATATATATATATATATATATATATATATATATATATATATATATATATTACCTTAAAATTTCAAAGCGTTCCCCTCCAAGTTCAATTCTTGTATCAACACAAAGTCGTAGTAATAAGAACAGCACAAATTCTTCTTCTGTTTTGGAAGTCCAACTCAGCTGCTCAAAGGCATTCACAATCTGAGCCCGTAGCACTGAATCTACACTTCCCAGAGTGCTCTTGTTCCACCACCAGTCACGGAACTTCTTCATCTCTTGCTAGTACGGTAGATATCAAAATATATTGAAATTTTTCAATATGACATTCGAAATTAATTATTACTATACTGTAATAATTTTTGTAATGATTTTTAATCAACTATTTAGTTCTAAAACTATTACTGTAGTCCAACTTGATTAATATAAACTGGTGGCCTTATTTTCAGGGAATAGCAAGGTCTGCTTCTGAGTAATGTAAATACTGTACAGTACTCTGTATAGTATAAATATAACTACAGTATGTTTCTATTAGAAGCTCAACCACCAGGAGAGCCCTCACTCTTCCAACAATTTAATTCTTATGGTTCACTGGAGGACATCCACTTCAGCTGCTGACAGCTAATAATAAAATAAAAAATTACAGGTTGAGCTGGTCACTTTCATGTAAAGGCCCAGGGTTAAGGTAACTCTTCAGGTCTGAGGGTTGTCATCCAAAAAACTGGCACTTGACAATATAGGCAATGTTAGATTTTTTCTTTTTAATGGCAACACTTCAATTTTAAAGGACTGGTTTAGTCATTACTAAAAAGTAACAATAATAACTGAAAAACTGAGAAAAAAAATTGAGGTTTATGAGAACAATGTATTAAGTACTGGACTGTACAAGTGCTTGTATGGGCTAAGTATTGATAAACATACCCACTGTGGTTGAGGAACTGGCATGGTGACATCATTAAGATTGTAGATCTGACTTCTTTCTGCTGATTTTTTACTTTTTTTCTTTTTCTGTGGTAACTCATACTGCCATATCATAACTGGGTCCCACCTGCCAGAAGGGAAAACAATGACAGCATACACAAAGCACAATTATATGCCATTCACTGCTTCACAAAAATACAAAAACTTAGTTTACCTATACATGTACCTTGATTAACTACAAGAATAGCTCTTGATATTATGGTGAAAACTGCCCTGTAAACAACTGTTAAGAGTTGATAGAATATTTTGGATGCAGAACAAAAACTAGCACTGCTCAGATATAAGGAACACCTTAAAACCCATGATATATCTGAAGAACACTGTACGTACTGCCCCTAAGTTGTCTCAAGGACTCTATTACACCCCCCCCCCCCTATACTGAATAGCATTTAACAACTTTAGTCCAATAGAGATATTTCCTTTTTATGTACACTACAATATATCGAACTTTTTAAAAGAACAAAACTGATATATGGATAAAGTAATTATGGTACCTATAATGATTACATTCTTCATAGTCTTCGTATGTGAGGCAGCGAGCGACAGCCCCAGCAGCGAGGGAAGATAGACAAGGTGGACGATGGTAAGATGGTACCACCATTCCTTCAATGAGTGTCACATTGGAGGTCATTATCCTACATCTGGCTTAATTCATCATACCTGGTAGAAAACAGAATCTACATTAAGGATACTGACAGAGGGTATTTACTACTACAGTTCTACTCGGTCTGGTAAGCAGCATTGCAAATCTCCACTTATAACAATTCAAAATAAAACTGTTCAATGATGGCAGATAACAAAAACTGCAAATACTGTACAGTATTATCAATAACCATTGTATCCATGAATAATTATAAAGGAAAGGCTTAAAAAATTAGTAATGATAATCATGAATGTAATTGGTAGATGATGTGGTTAATTTGACCAAGAATATTTTCTATGACAGACATGTCAGGTGAGGCAACAAAATTCATCACAAACCATGTCACTAATATTATTCACTTATTCGTTCCTACTGAACTCATACACACTCAAGGAATGTTTTTTGTTCGTTACTTGACACTAAATATGATCAAATGCTACTGTCAATGGAATGTGAACAGCCACTTTTGAAAGTAGTAATGTTTAAGAAAGTCTCGTCAAAATACACTATTTTTCTGAACGGTGTAGCACCCTGGGAGCCTTACCCCCACTTCCTGGTGCAGTGACACATACCTAAACTATCAATGAGCTGCAGGAGGAGTTAGTAAGACACATTATAACAGCTTCAGCTTCACGTCCACTTCATGTAGGAATATGGATAATGTTCACCAAGTTACCTAGGACTATCGCTAAGCTATTTCTTTACCCTTTGAAAGTAGACGATATGAATAAAAATAGAGAGTTTAAACCAACGCATAACTACAACAAGATTTCTACACTGGATTTGGTTAAGTTATCTCATACTTGATTGATTCGTATACATTAAAAAATAAAGTCAAAGGCGATGCGTTCGTGGTATCTTACTAACATCTGTCGTCTTGCCTTCATGTTGCATTCACTGGTTTGTAAACAATGGTCCCGATTCATGACGCAAATACATAGGAAGTTATTAATCTCTTGTAATATCATTTTAAGTCTTATATACTCTATACTGATATAAATACCATTAAAATACAATAATAATGGAAATACTTGAGACGCCATATGTCATGCATGATATGTGTTTGTTTTATATATTCACATATTCAAGGAAGCCAAAGTCAATGGTCACTAAATCGAACAATAAATTTTAGTAGCTATGGCTAGCCAAGACAGAATATATTATTGTCATGATTAAAAAAAGCACCATTTTCATTTCAGGCTTTAAATCATAAACGCCGTGCAATTCTATAATTTTAACATTCACTGATAACGTTTACTGAATTAGTGCCTCAATGGACAAGTTATGAGTCTCATAAAAAGGCTCAATTGACCCCAATAGGCTGAATTAGTAAGAAATAATTTTCGTCGTGGCTACTTAAGACGATGTCATACTGCGGCTTTGTTGAATCGACAGGAATCTTCCATCACATGTACATAGCTTCAGACGTAAGTACAGTATTTATTAAACACATTTTGTTATTTATTCCCAGTTAATGCTTTAAAGTACAGTTCTGTGGGCTTTAAACTGTTTGTTGACAATGTCCCTGAGTGTTTGAGTTTACACTCCTCTGAGAAAACACTTCCAGAACATCTGCATGTATACAGTACTCCTTGGTATTATGCTTATAACTGTATTCTTCACCATGTACCCTGTGAGTCTGTGATATTTTTCTTTACTTTGCTTTACACTTTACTTATCCTCTTTGTCGCTGGTCGGTAGTTTGTCGGTAATTTCTCCGGTTACTTATAATTTAGAAGGTTAATTGTTAAGAACATATCAAGACCTTTTTGATGGCTGCGTTCTTAATTTTAATAGCTGAATCTGTACAGCATGGATTTCGTGCCTGGATCATTACACGCTGTTTACTATCATCCAGTCAAATTGTTACCGTTCATTTAACGTTCAACCTTTCTACGCTGTCATGCACCCTAACACCCTCAACGCACACACAACGTTCTAGAGTACCCACACATGTAGGACCTCCAGGCTCCAGCAGTTGTAAGCACAGGCGTTCAGACGAAAGTCGGTGATGACTTTTTCTAGGAAGATTAGTTTTTTATAATTGATCCATCATGGTATCACATATTATGTTTTCTAGCATTTTATAAGTTTTGTAAGTTAACCTCATAATTATTTGTGCTCTGAATGGTCCTAACATTCTGGAATACCACACCTCGGTTAATCTTGAGTTTAAATAACTTTAGTTAATACATCTTTCTAGGAAACCTATGTACTCAAATGCTTAATTCGGTGGTCCGCCTTCAAAACAAGGTAAATTGTTCGAGTTCTTTCTTGTAAACTCAAAGGGTAAAAACCCAAGGTAGGTAGATAACAGGTAGCCTCACTCCCATAGGGTCTACGCTAATGAAAATAAAAATGAAATTTTTATTTACGTATTTTTGAAGGCTTATGATGGCATTAAAAGTTGTACAGTAAATGTATGGAATGGAGATTTTTTGTTTTATTTTAATTGGAGCCACTGATTAAATATATAAAATAAATATAAATATCTTACTTGCGACCGCTGGATTTCATCCAACGTCGCTGATTGGCTAGCGATGACATCACTTATTAAGCTCCGCCCACTTAGTTACATCAAACAGTAGAAGCAGATCATAATACTGTACCTCACTATTACAAACCATGAAGTGGCAAAAGGGGCGTGGCTTAGCGATCTCGAGAGTAAAGTTGCTAATTAGTGAATTCCTATGTACCTGCGTGAGGCTACCTGTTATCTACCTACCTTGAAAAAAACCAGTGTCGTGACTCCGTTCTGCCTTGTCTAACTGCATAATTACCGTACCATTGTTTAAATGTCTGATCTCTCCAGTGCGTGTTTGTAACTCACCAGGGCGAATGAAAAAAGATTGGTGTTTTCTTTTTGGGGTACTCAGACTTCTTTTAATCTCTGCCCGTTTACAATGTAAATATGTCATACATCATGGTGTTGCTTCTGTCGTCATTAGTAACTTCTAAATGTATTGATATTTCTGAATATTTTTTTATGAATCCGAATTAAGACGTGGGTTGGTGCCACGCAGTCAGATACAGTTGAATACCAACAAGCATTTACACAGGTTTCCAAACATCTCAGACTCGACGAAACTCTCAGTAATGCTAATAATAATAATAATAATAATAATAATAATAATAATAATTAACGGTTTATTGAAAACGTTCTGCAGCCCGAAGGCTGAAAATATACATTGGACATAAATGACTTATTACATACATTGGTGGTTTAACAAAAGCCTTCATTAGAGAAAGGTAAAGGAACATACAGTGAACATACAGATTAATGTAGGATTGTACGTGTTGAACAGCAAACACGTAGTGTAGTAACTCCCTCCCAGATGGTGTTAGGAGGGACCTCACGTGATGTAGTAGTTCCCTCAGATGGTGTTATGAGGGACCTGACGTGGTGTAGTAATTCCCTCGCAGATGGTTTTATGAGGGACCACGTGGTGTAGTGATTCCCTCACAGATGGTGTTATGGCGGACCTCACGTGGTGTAATTACCTCACAGATGGTGTTATGGGGGACCTCACGTGGTGTAATTACCTCACAGATGGTGTTATGGGGGACCTCACGTGGTGTAATTACCTCACAGATGGTGTTATGATGGTCCTCACGTGGTGTAGTAATTCCCTCACAGATGGTGTTATTAGGGACCTGACGTGGTGTAGTAATTCTCTCACAGATGGTGTTATGAGGGGGGCCTCACGTGGTGTAGTAATTCCTTCACAGATGGTGTTATATGAGTGAGGTTTGGTCCCAGGCCTTCCTATCGTAGACGGATTAACACATCGCTGGTTGTTGTTGGGTCTCGTTATCACTGGGTACCTGGGACCTCATTGTGTGAAGGTTAACTTGGGTACGACTGTTACTGTTGCGTTGTTCTCACTGACTTAAGCACTGTTCACCACTGTTCACCTCTGTTTAACACTGGTTCCATTCCTTTCCTAAATGAAATTGTAACTTCTGGCGAGAACTTGTTGATATTCCGGTGGGGAGGAGGGTTCAGGGGAAGGGGTTGGTATGGGCCAACTTAACAGTTGACCTGGCTGCTCCGAGAGGAGCGCCAGGTACGTCTTGACCCTTCGGTGGTCAAGGATGTAGCCCACTCACCTGTCTTCCCCCCTTCCCGGGCAGGAGAACTTTTGGCAGAACCCATGCTTATGCGGGCACGACCGTCTTTCCCACACATGATGACTTAACCTCATCTAATCTAACCAATTTTGAACTTAGTCTAGTCTACTTAAGTTGACCTAGTGAAGGAACGGACACAGTGACTATTATGCAAGACAAGGAGCAATCAACATTCCCCGGAACTCAATGTTTCATAGTCGTAGAAAGAGACAAGGAGAACTATCGTCTCGAAAACAAGAAACATCTTTCACTCCAGCAGAAAAGTACAAGTGAAAAATGCTGCTTTCGTCACAAATGTGAAATTGGCTGATAATGTACTAGTTATGGTGAAAAATGGGAACTAGCATTGGCAGTAGAAGGCAGTGTGCTATATAGCTGTTATCAATTGTGTGGTAGTCGCATGCATTATTATTACGCAATAAGTTGTCCTGCATGTACAGTACTTGCCAACAGTGCGTAACAGAGACGTGACCGATCGCCCAAGTGGCTAACGAGCCGATCAGTGGTGAAGAGGATAAAAGAAAGAAAAAAAGAAGGTATTCCAGTGAAAAGGGCAATTTTATAGACATTCCAGGGCATAAAGTAGTCACTGGATCGGCATTAACAAGCAGGGATATATCGCTTCATTGTGTGTCACCTGTCTTCGTTATCGGAAATGCCAAATGCACATCAAGTGTATCGTGCATGCTCACTTATTTTCATCGAGCCTATTTACTGCTCAAGCTGCTGGATCAGTGGCTAAGAGGATAAAAGTGACCCTTCATTTTTTACTCAAAATACAAAGAAAACAAGTACCCGGAGTTTAGAAATGATTATTACTATGCCCAACTCCCTCATCATACATGTAGGATGATGCTTTCCCTTCGTTTTGCTCTCTCAATGTACCAAAGAAGGAAGTAGGTAAGACAAGAGAGTTTATTAAATTCATGTCAACGTATACTTAGTAACTACACCTTCCCGTATACAATATTCTGGTTCTACGTGTTCCTGTATTATTTAGGTAAATGCAATCGCTATCATGTAAATAAATTTATTTGAAAAGTTATGTCATTCTGATGAAACACTGCTACTGTAAGTGTAAAACACGGATTTGGAAATATCGGCATCACTGCGAGGATGGAATTTATCGTAGTTCTCCAGAAATATTTTGTTTTCTTTAATAGTAAACGAAATACAGAAAACGGGTGGCACCTGTTTGGATGTTGGTAACAGGTTTCTCGTAAAGGCAAAGGTAGTTCTATTTCAGGCTCCCGGTCGGAGGTTTGCCGGTGATCACCTTGAACCTCTCACAGTGAGGGGAGCTGGAGAGAGGGCAGGTTCACATTGTGTAAGTGGCATTAGTGATACGGTTGAGAGGTTCACAGCTCGGCTTGTGGCTCCTGTGAGACGTGGGCAAACAGAGGGCATCACTCGCGAGTGGTCTTGTTGGAATATTAGTTGGTGGCTGATGAGTTTATCATAGTCATCTCCTGCAGCGAAGGTCAGCTGTTCACGGTAGGGAAACTATGCATGACACGCTAGTTTGTAATTGTTGCCACGTTTTGAGTTATCAGCTCTGAGTTACCGTGTGGACGCCGGGCCTAACAAAGCTTGTTTGGAAAAGGTGACCCAGCGCTTGAAAAACAATTTGGAATTTTTGTGGATTACCTCACGCCAAGTTTTTATACCAGGTATACATAGTTGCTGTGCTTAAAATTTCCCAAATTCTGGCGCCATTGGCTTTACTTCGGCACAGATGTTACGTAATTTTGTAACTAGGTTAGTGAAGCTACTCGCTAATTTTTTTGTTTTTATTTGTTTTTACGAATTGTTTTTGCCTTTTTTTATTTTTTATCTTTCTTTAATAACTTGTGATGGATCGTATGTGGATTAATTAAGTTCAAGACATTTTTATGAAATGCTATGTAATCTAAAGACAAATTGAATAATACCCAAACCATAATACGAAAGTTCATTATTTGGGAAAAGGGATAATTATTTGCAGTGTGAAAGATTGTGTTCATATGCAGAAACATTAAAAATTCGTACGAGATTATTGAGACTGGCTTTGTTCACCAATTGTTGATCATAAAATCCAAAGGCAATTTCGTTTGGATTTCCCCCGTTTACACGGGATGCGAAGTACACTCAATATTCTTGTACACAAAGTGAAATATTTCTCACTTTCTAGTGGATGAAATGTAGCGGTTTGTCATTTGTTTAAATTAAAAATTACAACCGTTTACAGTTGTTTGTGTGACCGCGCGTCATAGTAGATTGCCAGACTGACTATACGTTATACCACGTTAGGTAGCTGGTGGAGACACTACACAGAAGTAACACTTACAGTATAATAGAGATGATGAAGCAAGGGAAGACCCGGGAGTGGTGCCAAACCTGTTAATTTCTTTGGCATTCCATATTTAAACGTGGAGGAGGAGCCGCCTCTGCCACTACCTTAGAGGAGTTGGGTTGGCGAGGGTTTGAATATCGTAGCTACTAACATGTTCTGAAGATTTGAGCGAAACAAATATTCTTTGATGCACGAATTTAATATATTATACATATATTACTTATAATGTCTTACTTATAGAGACAGTAAGTGATCATATCTTAAAAAGGTGTAAAGCTCCAAGACTCATTTATTAAGGCGCGAAACGATCACAATGTTTCTTGGTGCACAAGGCTAAAATGAACAGCTGTAGTCAAAATGTTCTGAGGATTGTTTTCTGAATTATGCCTCGGTGTGCAGCATTATACGCCAGGATGTCCAGTGGTATTTTGGAACAAACTGAACACTGGAAGTCCAATATTAGTAATGACGATCCTTGTCTTTTTCCTATTTGCCACTTTTGTTGTGAGTACGCCTTCTTATTCATTCCAAGTTCCCAGTCACACACCTTTCCATCTTATTTTGTCTTTTACTTCTCCACAATTATCGGTCCTCTCTCATATCCTAAAAATATGAAATTTGCAATGTTTATTTTAGTATGGAATTTTTTCGAGAGTTGGGGAAAGAATAATCTCAGTGTGATTGAATTTTAAATGGCTAGATATTCATTCAGATAAAAAATAAGATGAAAGCAAAATTTATCTCCAAAGGTACAACGGTGTGTCTTAATATGTCAATGAAACTTTTTTTTCTGGTTTTAGATCCGGAAACAGTGTCGAGTCTAAAATAAAGTTACATATACAAACGGATTCAAACTACCTATCTTTCTAAATTCATCTGGTGGCGATGCGTTCAGGATATAGAGATGGAAGAGTACAAGTAAGAGAAACGCTAAACTATTTTGTTATTCATATATTTATTTACAGTTTTATCTACACACATGATACGAACCAAAAACCTAACCTAAACTAACCTGCTCTAGGATTCATAGCGTAATTTTGCTTAAGTTGTGGATTGGTTGCTGTCTCGTATGAAAAATTAGCCCCCCCCCCTCCCCCCCAAGTCATGTTCGTTGTATATTTCCAACATTCCGTCTTGCTTGTTGCGCTTATAACCGTAATTACATATAATTCATACAGTTGTGAAGTAGGATTTTTGTATTTTGCTTGAATGATGTCTAATACGAGTGCTAGTCTTTTGGGTGCAGTTCACAGTAATTTGATAGTATTGTATGTGGATTAGGTTAAGGTCATATAAACGAAAGGATTTTATAGTCAGCAACTTAGGTAGTTTTTATTGCCACTAGTTGCCTGAAAAGCCTGAACAAATGTTAAGGTGATTGGTTCCTGTTGCCTGAAAAAAATGTTTGGTTGATTCCTGTTGCCTGAAAAGGTTAGATTTGGTTGATTCCTGTTGCCTGAAAAAAGTTTGTTTGGTTTCTATTGCCTGAAAAAAATAGATTTGGTTGATTCCTGTTGTCTGAAAGGGGGTTGTTTGGTTCCTGTTACCTGAAGAAAATAGATTTGGTTGATTCCTGTTGCCTGAAAAAAGTTTTTTTGGTTTCTATTGCCTGAAAAAAATAGATTTGGTTGATTCCTGTTGTCTGAAAAGGGGGTTGTTTGGTTCCTGTTGCCTGAAGAAAATAGGTTTGGTTGATTCCTGTTGCCTGAAAAAATGTGTTTGCATTTTTCTTAGCTCATCAATGTTTCAAAGTGGAGACATTGTTTGCTGCTGACGTGTGTACGATAACTCACGAGGCTTGGCTCTTGGCATGGTTCACCCTTTTAACAATTTTTTTTTTTACACTTCTTTCTTTTAGTTTTTATGCAATCCTGAGTGTAAACATGATGCTATCGGGGAAGAGGAAAATGTTACTAAGCAAGAGGTTCCTGTTTTTTTTTTATTCCGTCTTTTAGTTAACTTTAAAAGGGAAGACTAATACTGAGAATGCTGCGTTATAAGCAAATTCGACAGCTGCTTTTTGTGTTTCTGCATTTATGGATTTCCTGACCGACTGAAGGATGTTTTTTCACGTTCGAGGGTCTTCTTATTTTGAAGTGCAGGTTAATACAGCCAATGATTGGCTCTTGGTCAATCATGTTTATTAATTATCTGTATACTTAAATCTGGTTTTCATGCAGGCGGTGTTCCGAGTCGTAGGGGAGAATGTGTTGTGTGTACTGAAAGGTGTAAAAACAAATATTATTCAGGAAAGGGTAGAATTATCTTTAAGTACCGTCCACTTTTTTGGCGTGAGAGAATATTAAAAAATAGAAATATGTGAAATGCTCTTCTGTTTAAGTGCTATAACTGCCAAGGTCTATATAAGTACTAAGTTTCTACGCTAGATCGATTTTTTAGAGGATATAAACGGTTTTAAAAATTCACTGCCAAATTCCATTTCTTTGATATAAACTGAGAACCAAAAGATATGTAAGAGTGGGACTTAATGCATTTAAATACCACACCGAAGGCACAATGAATGACTTTCACTGAGACTTGATTTAGACAGTTTCTGAAATTTCTGTATGTCCAGAATAAATTATGTATGTGTGTGTGTGTGTGTGTATATGTGCTTCAGGGATTCTCAAGGTTCGTGTTATGATTATATTGATGTTATAATTTATTACAGTATTACGCTTTAACAACTCTGGTCATTAATAGTCTAGGTTTTGTACGATACATACTCCGCTTAACCGGAAATGTAATCTTACTGGTTATATTTAAACTAACGCACTAAAATAACGTACAAAATTGAATAAAAATTGCACTTGAGAATCTATTAACATTAGATACGTTCACTTAGCATCACCTACTATTTCAATTTGTGATTTTCGGCATTGTCATATCAGCGAGGATATTTATATATCACTGAAATAAAATACAGTTATCATTTTAAAGACACCGAGGACAGAGTCGATACATCTAAACCAAGAAAGTTAATCTTAGTATAGAATAATTAACAGCTAACCATTAGTTAATTATATGACAGCTTGTCAAGGCCAGCCATCTATCTACATTAACCAGTTTAAAGACCGAAATAGTTCACTAACCTAAAGTAAACAAACTACCCCTCACACCAACTAAATGACAGCTTATTTAATTAAACCATCTGGTTGTCCAACTCAGTTCTAAACACTTTGTACATAAGATGACCTGAATAACAAGTCGACTAATAAGGGCAAACTGAAATGGCCATGTCATTGTTGGCTATTCTTGGTCGTGTCATTTGGCATTGTTTGTACACCCGCACTGCCTGTATGCATTGTATTCCTGCACTATGTACGTATATTGTTTGTATACCTGCATCGTGTATGTAAATGCTGAATCAATGTGAAACTGTATGACGATTTTACTATGTATCTATGAACGGGTATGGATGACGAGACAGTTCAGTGGCCAACTGGCGCCACAAAACAAATGTAAACTCGAGGAAGGATCTGGATCAATCAACCCGATGCCCCCCAGGATGTGACGTCATCGCATCACTAAAACAAACGGATTGGTTGAGTTTTCCTTCTCCTCTTACTTCCTCCTCTCTCTTTAGTTAATTATCTCTAATGTCTTACTTCTTCTCAAATGCAGAATCAGAGGGACTGATCTCTTATCGTTTAATTGTTGATGTTTTGTATATGATCTAATCTTGTGTTCGCATGTTTGTTGATGCACAGTAACACAAGTGTTCTCGGGCCATTGTGAGAAGGTGAATCAAGCAACTTAGCTAGTTGGTCTTATAAGACGGTCGTTCAAATATCTAGAACAGGGGTGTCAAACATGCGGCCCGCGGCCCAGTTGCTGCTCCAGCCTTACCTTGAGGAGCTAAAACTAAATAGTGAGTGTATCCCTCCGCTGAATAAAATAGTCTGCTGTTTCCTAGAACAAAATACTCAATCAACATCAGCTTTTTGAACGGCAACTATCAGAGAGTAATCTTTCTCACTTTCCGACCTTGAAGTCCCTGCAAGGCACACCTGAGTTTCAAGCTGATATCAACACAAAAAAGTACTGCATCAAGATTTCCAAATTAATGAATGAGTTCCAAGAAAGATTTGCCGACTTTACAAGACTTGAGAAGGATTTTTTTCATTTTTCGGGACCCATTCTCTGTTGGTGTTAATGAGGT